AGCAATCAGTATCACATTCGTGATGGACTCGTCATTTTCCCCTTTGTTTTTTAGTAAAGTGTAAGCTCTACGTTCCCTGCGCCATCTGAAATAATAAGAAATATAAAGGTACATGTAGTGTGTTTATTATAGAACCCAGATCTTACAAAAGCCCGTTAAGAGTGGTTTATGTTTTTGATATGGTGCTTTTATAGCTATGTTGCAATACTGTGAAATCCCTGTTTACTGCTATAAATATATACCTGTACAGTACAATCATGTACTTCTCTCTGTATTAGCCCTCTCTGTTATATGGGCCCATTAACTGTAAACAGACATAATATTGTAAAGTACATATTAATTCCTCCCCCACGCCCCCTCACTTCCTGGATAGAAGTTTTTTCTTCCTTTTGTGAGAGGTGTTAACAAAACCTGGATAGTGGGCAGGATCAACTGACCTGCAGAACTCAATATAATCAACAGAAAATTAAGGATTGGGTTACATGGTTTAGATCCAATCTAGTCAGGTTTTGTAAGTACTTCAGTAACTATAGTTAACAGAGAGCTTCAGATTCAAGGACAAGAACAGCTACGAGTACGAGATTTGACTTAAAGTTTTTTCACATATTCTCAAAAAATAGATTTCCCAGAAAGCTTCATTGTACTTTTGATTCACCAGAAAAGTTTTAGCACTGTTATCTTTATTAACGAAGGTTAAGCCCTGTCTCGTTCCCAAAATGATAAAACCTGATAACTTGTTCCTGCCACTACAACATTCTTGCTAAAACCCATAGTAGAATGACGATGGCTATCGCATTTTCCCACCAAAATGATGTTGGTTCTCATGCGCTCAATACTTAGTATTGAGAAAATCTCGTACTCGTAGTCGTCCTCATCTGAGAATGTAAAGCTCTCTATTAACAAAGAATTGCATTCCTCACAACTGTTATGACGAAAGTCCAAAAGGAAATAGTGCTTGGAGGAGGAAGATCTACATAAATTATGTTTGCACACATATGGAAGAGGTAGCTGAAAAAATGCTACATTACTGTTGGTCAGCCTCCTTCGTAATGGTGAACTTTCAATATATCATTTTATATCTACGATAATTATCCTTTCTGGCCTCATTAGCATGTGCAAAATCCAAAAAACAGAGACATTTTTCTTTTCATACCAGGCCAGTAAGGATACATGTTACGTTATGAATGAGTTTACATTAACATTATGTTACTCTGTGAGTTTATGGAAGTGTTTACCACCAAATCTGCCTTTTTAAAATTCCTAATACCAGTACTTTATTTTTCTGTCAGGAAAAACCTCAAAAGTAAAAGAAATGGCTGCAAATCTTCATCTTGATCTGTACAACTTTGAGGAAGCTGCTGCTCAGCAAAGCCGTTATGTTCTGACTAGTCCCAGGTCACTTGAGGTAAATCTTTATAAAATAATATACTCCAGAAACTTCAGTGTGTTACACAAAATGTAGTTGAATAATTGCTATCCAAACATTTTTAAGTACGTGTTTGTAAAAAGCATTTCTCTTTCCTTGTCACATTTCTGACCAGTGTAAATGAATTTTCCAAACGTTTGACTTAGAATTATTATTTAAACCTCATCTTAAGAAAATAATGATTATTTTAAAAGTGGTTGTGTTTTTGGGCATCACCATCAGATGTTAACAGTACATCTATTTAACAATGGATGACTGTTAAATTTATATTTTATTCTTTTCCTATAGGCTTGTTCAAGGTTTGGGATAAAGGTATGTATACATTGGGGAATATTGCCATATCATTACATATTGAATTTCCTAGACTTTCACTCAACTAGACACGGACTGTCATTGGTTGATTCTTGGTCACGTGGCCTTGACTAAAATCAAATGTATCCTGATCGTGATAAGCAATGTACCCCGCTCGGGATACGTTACAGCACTTGATCAAAGCATGGTGGAAGGTGGTGTGACAGAAGGCGGGAAAAACACTGCCAGTTTTCTCTTTCATGAATGAACACAACAACACAAATGCGAAGCCTCAAGCTAAAAAGCAATGATTTTTAAAGTTATTCCAGAAGAGAAACAGCAGTTAGTGGAGGAAAGAGATGAGATATAAGAAAAGTACTTTGTAAATCATTCATTCAGTGGTTTTGAGAAATAGATTTGTGTTGTTATAAGTACTGAGTCGACAGTTTTGGTATGCTCTGGTTATTCTTTTGTTGCTGTTGAAGTGGAAGTCTAGAAATATATCAAAACACTTAATGGCAGGTCCCTTGGGAAACCAGTTAGTTTTGTTTTTCCTTGAGTCCTAATGTTTCCCTCGACGTCGTCTCGGGAAACATCAGGACTCTCGGGAAAACATAAATGACTTTTTCCCTTGGGACCTGACATCAAATGTGTAATAATAATAATTATTAAATAATTATTAATAGTATAATTAGTCAAGCTTGCTTCAGCAGCAAGACTCTAAAAATACAGGTGTTTATTTTGTTATCTTTTCATGTGTGTGTTCCAAAAGCATTAATTGTCTCAGGTGTTCCTAGCAGAGACCGTGGAAACTGGGGAAAGTGAAGTTGAAATGACGCACCATGTTCATCACATTTTTGCTATTTGGCATCGATGTAATTTCGCTCGAACTGAGACCCTTGATTTTCGTGTATTTATACACTTGCACTCAAATAACTCAGAAACAAATTATTGAACACGATATAAAAAGTAAATTTCCTGAAGAATATTCAACCATCGATTAAGTAGGATGAGAAAACTGTTAGCGAGGAAATCGTGTCTCGTTTAGAATTAATGCCCCTCTAATTTCTTATCTAATCTCCAAGCAACAAGCTCTACTTAACACTTTCTTAAGAGCGTATTTAATTTTATAAATTACTACCACCCTAGTCAGGGGTTTCGTTTCAGGCCGGACGCAACTTCCGGTTGTTTGACATGTAACATCCAGTAGTTCACTCGTGAAATAACAAGTGTGAAAATCGTTTTATCGATTTATTTACCAAAGAAAGACTTGACCCTTATTTTACTCACTTAGTTATGTAATATAGCTAGTGTTCCAGCCAGAGTGCGCCATTGCGTGAATCCCGCAAAAGATCGAGAGATGGCCCCCACCAAAAGCGTTCAAGGGCCATTATGGCCCTTTCCTTTTTTAATTGCCTGGGCTTAAAATGGTCTCTGTTACTTCAACTACAGTAATTTTCCAATTAAACAGAATTTTTAATCTAAAGAACAACGGCTCCGTACCTTTGTTCACAACATGAAAATCAATCGATGAATCTTCTTGAGTTTACCTGATTTACTGTGAGTGGTCTGGAGACCACTTAGCCTCGACTTGGCTTTTGTAATATTGCAGAAGCTCACGGGTATTGAAAAAGGATAAACCTGACAAACACATCTTGGAGGTCTATCAAAAGTTTTTTCTCAGTAAGTAACGAAAAAGTGGATGTTCAGAATAAGCGAATGGAAGCAGATCTTGACGGTGAAGTGGAAAATGAGATGAAAAAAATTACTATTTTTATTGCATACATTCTGATTGTACTGTTTGCTTTATTACCGAAGATTTCCTCTATTGTGTATAAAAAGGGACGCTCGATCTCAGCTTTAAATAAACTGCCACTTTCATTTCCTGAACTTTCCAACTGTTTCTTCTCTTTTGCGTATTAGAGAGATACTGGTACATTGGCCCTTTCTTGAAATATCTGGCCCCCAAAAATTGGTTGTAGGGGCCACTTTGGCCCTCAAGTAGAATTTTCTGGCTGGAACACTGTAATGCATACAATCGAAAAAAAAGAGATAATTCCTGTCATACACATGTATATTTTTTGTGAGCACTTTTTAATGCCCTAAAAGACCTTTCCAGTTACCCAATTCATGTCCAGGGAACGCAGGAAATTGCATTTTAGAGAGTCCAATTTTACAAACCATACCCCTGGACACCCCCTAGGAGTTGGTTCCTCTGGCACTCAACATCTGCACATCTGCCAGCTGAACCACTGCATCCGGTTCTTCGAAGTGCTACCAAAAACCCTGCCTAGTTGATGACACAATTCAAACTATTTAGGTTGCTCAGGCAACAATTTTCAAATTAATTAAAATTTCCACTAATGTTATCAACAAATGTAGCAGTTACATTTATTGAAATCAATTTTGATGTTGTTTTTAGGAATTAACGTGATTATTAATTTGTACAAATTAAGTACATGAAATTCATGGAACATAATAAGGCCTTGTGTTTCTCCTGATCTAAAATCAAATTCTCCCTTTGATGAAGCAGCATAAGAATCAATGTATTTACTGGAATGGAAATTTTGTAATCAACAGATGTTACTTGGGGTTTTATTCCCTTCAATTGTAATAGTGACAGTTATTACATTCATGCAGTAGCAGTCATAACTTTTGTATTTTAGAATTTATCTCTATTCAGCTTTAGTTTAAGATATGTTTTGTTAGAATCAGCTGATTTACTGGCTGCTAATAATTACATAATGTAATGACAGCCCTGTTAACCCTTTAAACCCCAGTATCTACATACAAATTCTCCAAACTGATCTCTATACATTTCCTTTAAGAATGAGTTAAGAGAATTTGTTAAAAGATCAAGGCATTTTTACTTAGGAAATCATAATATTAATTCTCATAACTTCTCTGTTGACAATGTATGGACATTGGGACATAAAGGATTAATGTGCTAATAATTTGTTTTAAATTGCATTTTAGCCCGTAGAACTACTTCACAAGTCCTTTGAGGAGTTTGTTGATGAATTCAAGTCTCTGTATGATACTGATTACTCTCATCGAGCTGTGCATGAAGTTTTCCAGGAACACGAGAGGCAAAGACTTAGTAGGTTGAAATTTTTGCTCTTAATAATCACATTTTGTTCCACTCTGTCTTGTGGTTAAACAGGGTTGTGATGAGGTCAGGGAATTTTGCCAAAATTTGGGTATAGTTTTTGGTGAAGTCAGTGTTAAATGTTAGAGATAGTTTTATTTCAAGTTGCTACGTGCAGCTGATCGTCATGCGTTCCTTCCAGAATTCGTGATAACCCCAAAAATTAAGGCCTAATAATGGCTGTGTGGGAGGCTGCTAATCGACTTTGTTCCTCTAAATGGTATGAAAATCTATTAAAAAACATCAAGAGAATGAAAAGATCTGCATTCAATCCTGGATATAATTTTAAATCATTAGACATCCTCTCAACAAACCTTTCCTCGTTTTCTTTTTCTTTTTTTCAACTTTTGACATGTACCAGTGTGGGAAAATCCGTCAACACTGCTGGAAAGAGCCAAATTTTAAAGTGATGTAAAACAAGCAAAGCGAAAGCTCTGCAATTGGTAACAAGAAGTAACAGGGGGTAACAAAGCCAAAGGGTAAAAAGGGTACCAAGCGGTGACAAGGGGTAACAGGGGGTAACAATGGGTAACAAGGGGTAATAGGAGGTAACAAAGGGTAACAGGGGTAATAAGGGGTAACAAGGGGTAACTATGGGTAACAAGGGTAACAAAGGGTAACAAAAGGTAACAGGGGTAACAAGGGATAACAGGGGTAACATGGGGTAACAGTGGTAACAAGGGGTAACAAGAGGTAACAAAGGGTAACAAGGGGTAATCAAGGGGTTATCCCTGTTACCCCTTGTTACCTCAAATCCCCCTTGTTACCCTTGTTACCTCTTGTTAACCCTTGTTACCCTTGTTACCCCTGTTACCCCTTGTTACCCATTGTTACCCCTTGTTACCCCTTGTTACCCCTGTTACCCCTTGTTACCCCTGTTACCCCTGTTACCCCTTGTTACCCCTGTTACCCTGTTACCCTTGTTACCCCTTGTTACCCCTTGTTATCCCTGTTACCCCTTGTAACACCTGTTACCCCTTGTTACCCCTTTAAACCCTTGTTACCCCTTTTAACCACTGTTACCCCTTGTTACCCCTCTTACCCCTTGTTACCTCTGTTACCCCTTTTACCTCTTGTTATCCCTGTTACCCCTTGTTACCCCTTGTTACCTCTGTTACCCCTTGTTACCCTTTGTTAGCCTTGGTACCCCTGTTACCTCTTGTTACCTTTCGTTACCTCTGTTACCCGTGTTAACCCTGTTACCCCTTGTTACCCCTTGTTACCCCTGTTACGTCTTGTTACCTCTTGGTACCTCTGTTACCCCAGGGGTAACAAGAGGTAACAAGGCTTAACAAGGGTAACAATTTTAAACCCTATTTTTGTTCAGTGTAACTATCGGTTACCTTACCAAGAGTAATGAATCTACCCATCCTAAATACCCATTTGGTTTTTTGCGAAATTGGGTATTGCGCTACATAATTGAAAACGCGAAACCCCTTCGATTCAACCAATATATTCACTTTCCCTGTCTTTCCCCGTTACATCTGGTGTTAAACCACCAAACTTGATTAGGAAAACTCTAAGGTTCCTTAAGCCAAAATGTGACTCATCGAATACTGAATAGTTTGATTTTTTCATTGTGGTAGATTGTTCACGAGGTTTTCACGTGCGATTTTCAGTGAAACAGTCTTTAACTCCGACGACTTATTTCTTCCTATTGTCACAAGAGCCTGTTTTAAGGCATTGGTTACAAAACGAAACAGGTCCTCGTTGTTACCCATTGTGAAAAGCCAATCTGCATGAGATGTACAGTGACACGGCTGGCACGTGAAAGTGTTGGACTTTGCCCCTTTCGTGGGTAACAGTAATCTAGTCGGGGTAAGCGAGGTCTGGAACCGAGTTTAGATGATCGCCCCAGTTAAGAAACTGGTAGTGAGACAGTTCAAATTTTCTGATCACAGTGGCCAAAGGAAAGGCAAAATTAGAAATGTCATCATTTTTTTTAATTTGATAAATTCCCTTTGAAGCATATTTGGCCAGATGTAGTCCTTGTCAAAACATGCAAACTTGAACATTTATTTTCTGACCCTAGCTAATCGTTTTTAAACCATACTCTTGCTCCAGTGGGTAGTGTAGTTTTTGGAATAAAATATTTATAATTTCTCCCTCTTTCTTTGCAACAAAACACAATTGAATGAGGACTCAAGCTGAAGGCAGTGTAGTAACTGCGCAAGCTGTCATGAAAAGGGAATTCCAAACACACAAAATAATTACCCTTTCATTTGCCTATATTCATTTACGTTGGCAAAATTTATTTAGCTTCTATTACATATCAAAAAGGCAAATTGCCACTCAATCATTCATAAGTTCACAATCAAAATTTTCTCAATTTCTTTTCGTCGTACTAAAACCGTAAATTTTAAGAAATCACCTCTTGTGGGCTTTATTACAACACCTGCAATTAAATTATGTTTCATGCAATGACCAACAGGACCAAAAGCGAATTCACTTCACACCGTCAACGTCAAGGTTGATAGCCTATTAACATTTATTAACATTTATTAACTACCAAGAAAATTATCAAACTGCCGAAATATATTTCTACTTGTATCATGTTACTCCACTCAATACAATGCCAGTATCTAATTTTGTGTCAACTAGCGTCTTCCAATTTTATTCCCTAACGCTACTGTTTCTACTTAAGTTACTCATCTTTACTAAATAAAATAGGTTTCAGAAACTATAATACTTAGTATGCAGGAAGGATGTATTATGTTGTTCACTTATTATTCTTTTTTTTTGTTTTGCCAGAACGAAAAAGGTCTGTTGAACTTTGTAAGCGAGAGAATGATATTTTTAAAGCTTGTTTACAGGATTAGCAATACTCGGTACAGCTTTCACAAAAATAAGCTGCCTTTTTAAACTTCTAAAACCACATTTTATAGGGCGCATACTTTCGAATTAAAGTCTATATCTAAATATCAATTATTGCTTCATTGGAAGAGCTTTGAAAATATATGATCTTTTATACTCTACCCAGTTGTAGCGGGTGAAACAGAACTCATACTGACGTGCGTTGTACCGATAGCCGAATTAGGTCAGAAATGCCTTGAAGCAGCATCCATACTAAAACATGAACCCTTAAACAGCTGCATCACTGTACCCAGCGTTTGAATCATGAAGATATTTAATGTAATTCTTCCAAACACCTGTAGCCGTAATAAAAGACGAAAAAATTGTGAAGAATCAAGATGGCGGTCTCAAAGTGCCCTTGTTCGACCTTTACCAATGTCATGTTTAGGTAGATGCTAAGATCTCATTGGTTCCTAAGCATCAACTAATAGTCCCTTCAACCTTATTGGCTCTTGCAACAAACATCCGAACATACAAAGTTACAAGGTTACAAAGCCACAAAGATACATACGCTCACACCACTGACATATGAGCTATTATTTCAAAATAGCTCAACAAGGGGTATAAAGGGTAACAAAGGGTATTTAGGGGTAACAACTGGTAACAACGGGTAAAAGGGGTAACTAGGGGTGACAAGGGTAATAGGGGTAACAAATTGAAACAAGGTGTAACGGGTAACAAGGGGTGATAAGGTGTAACAAGGGGTAATAAGGGGTAACAAGAGGTAACAATGGGTAATAGGGGTAACAAGAGGTAACAGGGGGTAACAATTGGGGGGGGGCTAAGTTTGTTTGCCCCCGACCATACAAATGTCTGTAAAATTTCACGACCTTGGAGAACTATGCTTTTTCTAGTTTTCAACAAATCACTTTCAGACATCGGTAATTTTACTAATTTAAAGATGCTTTTTCCCGCGGAGTCAACAGATTTTCCCTAACTAGTACATGAAAATAGTTTGAAAAAGGCTGTGAAAAGGTCTAGTTTAACACGCATTAAGCTCTAGCACCTGAATTTTATTTCCAGGAAAACTGAAGCTTTGCCGGGATGAAAGAGAAAGAATAATGAGGGAGAGAAATACTGAGGCTGGTTTGCACAATGAAGACAGAAAACATTTAACAAGATCACCAATTAGAGGCACAGGTAAGGTTTAAAAAAGCTGGAAAATGAGCTAATAATAAAATTTTAAAGCTTTTCATGAATTAAAGATATTTTGCTGGCATTTTTTTTATTGATCCAAATTTTGTCTACACTTTTTTTAGATTTTCATGTAGCTGAGAGAGATGTAAGTAGCTTTACAAGGAGAAAGAACAGTTCCCTTGAAGAAGAAGAAATCAAGGAACGGAGTGCTTGGAGATCCTCTCTTAGAGAGAGCCAAAATTATTCCAGGTTTGATTGAGGAGTTATTACTTTCAATATTGTTATCAATTTTTTAAAAAAATGTCGCGTTACTTTAGAGGCAAATCTCAGCGCCGTACATGCTAAATACGGAAATAAAACTTGGGGCTTTTGACATTCCTTTTTTGAGACTTTTTTCCGAGGGCGTTTTGCAAAGGAAAGGCTTTATAGGGAAAGTGCTTTTCAAAATCCCATAACCTTAATAGTTTTTTAAATAAATGTCCCACTTATAATGACGAGTTTTGACGAGAAATATTTCTCCAAATACTCTATTTCTGGTTGAGGAGCGAGTCTTTGTTATTTGTACATGTATGCATAATTCAAATCACATTCATCGGTATTCACTAAAACAAAAAGAAAAAAATTTTTATTGAAAATTGGAAAATAACTAATTACATTACTTCACTCGCATAATCATGTTCAGACCTGGATTTTACATTTGATCACAGAGGTAAAGAAAACATGTATGGAGTAGATGTTAAATCTCAGAGACCTCCCACAGGAAAAACAAGATACAGGTTTGTATTGGATAATTATTACACTCGTTTGTGATTAAGAAGAAAAATGAAAGATTTACATGTATAGCATGACGTTCGGGAATCCTCCTGACTCCATTATGGAGTGAGGTGTGAATAATATTACAGTCTAGCAAATGCAAGAGATGAGAAGATTGTAATATTATTCGTGAAAATCTCACTTGGTAATGGGGTCATGAGGACCCCGAAACGTCGTGTTATAAATCCTTCATTTTTCTTCTTCGTTGCTTGTTTTAACAAAACTCTGCTTATAAAATCGTTTGTGATTGGTCAATTTACCGGGCCGTACACGTAGAATGTATTTTGTGGGCTACTTGTGGCATGCCCAATTATAAAATGAGCTTTCTCCTTCGAAAAAAGACAAAATGGCGGCTGGATCTTGCGGTCGCATCCTTTCTATAGGACCGCTCACGTGACTTTTGACGGGAGGGGATGGGCCAGTTACAGATGTAAAAAAAAAAAAATTAAATAGACAAGTTGGAATTAAAACTACTAATAACAATGTATTATTAAATAATTACACCAAAAAACAACCAGGGGCAGATTTCTGGATTCATTACCATGCATTGAAAGCCAAAAGAAGCGATTTTTTAGTTTAGTCCGTTATTCATATTCCGTAATAAAGTCAAACGAACTAACTGATCTAAAAATGCACATCTTTCTCTATCTCTGTTTCTTTATTTCTCAGCATAGGAATAACTAGGACTAAGTATACCCAGTGAACACTGGCACTGCAGAAACGAGCGCCGAAATTCCGTACTGATGACGCGTCACTACACAGGTCTGGGTAGTGCTTCTGATTGCCGGTTGAAGCAAATTTCCCAGGCGGCACGACCAATGACAAGCACTAACTTTTGAAGGATTAGTTGTGTTCGACAGGACTACAGTTCAAGATAGTTTCCGCGACTCGATGGTTTTTGATAAGCCCTCTTTCCCTCAAGTTACAGTAGACTTCCATCGCGAATTAATTGCTACTAGCCGCGTTCGGTTTGTCTCACATGTCTGTGTTGTTTAATCACTTTTTTTACAGCGGTCATACTAGCGCAAAAAGCCGCAGTCCCATCAGCCCCCGCGGTGGTGTTGTGACTTACGCTGAGAGTACTGACTCAGAGGGAGGGAGTGAGGCAGAAAAGGCTTGGTCCAGCAGCAGTGGGCGCTCCGAGGAGGGACATTCTCCAAGGATAAGTAAGAATCCCTCATCTGGAGGTTCCTTTAGGAAAACGGCCTCACGGCGCATTAAACGGACATCTTCGTTGGATAACTTGGAAGGACTGCGTTCTGTTCCGAGTGTTTTGGAGAGAAAAAGTTTGTCAGGGAAGGTAGGCGATTATACTCAGTAGAGTGTGATTTTTTCCTTTTTCAGTGTAGTATCATATCATGAAAATAATCGCTAATAAAACGAATTATGATAAGGCGAGAGGCGCAAAGTGCAAGTCAGGATTCCAATTCAGCTCATCGGGGTTCTCATCAAATTTTAAAGTTCACAGCTAGGATGTAGAAGTAGGCGGCCTGGCAGTCATTGAGGTACTGTAGGCAATTTGAGGCTTTCTCTCCCTCATTTTACCCATTTTCCCCCAGTAGAGGGCTCAAACCTCAAAGTAGCTTGTTTTTTTCGCCGGTTGCCGGCACTTACTGAGAAGCCTAAGCTCATTTTGGAAACCTGCAAATAATCCCGATACAATCCTTATCAATCACATCTGATTTACCGATTTTTATCGATTTATCGGTACCGATTTTTATCGATTGACTACACCGGCCGGGAAATAATATCGGCTAAGTTTCGCGAACGATCGTGCTTTTGTTACCGAAATTTGGATGAAACAGCGATAAGATTTGCGACATATGTTCAAACCATTTTATTGTTACGAATTACGCTTTGGATAACTCATTAAAAAAAGATCTCATAATCTCCGCTTTTGATAATAGCCATCGTGAGAGGATGCGCATGACTCTGGGTTGGCGTTATTTTGGGAGCATGGGATTAGTCCAGCGTGCTCGCGAGATGTGAAGTCCTGTGGCTACCCCAAAACCTTCGACCAGCTCGCCGTGTGAGTCGCCAATAGCTCAGTAGTTAGAGCGTCCTACCGGTATTTGGAAGGTCGTGGGTTCGATTCCCGCTGGGGGCTCGGATTTTTTTTCCAAGCATTATTTTCTTAGTTGTACTTGTAGTATCTGTTTCTAGAGCCTGGAATAGGGGGCGATATTGGTTATTTCTGGGTTGCTCAGAAAAATGGTTCAATTCATGGCGAGTTGAAGGGGAAGAGACCTCAGGAAACCACTAGGCTTTATAAAAGAGGCCACCTTGTTAGTGAGCTAACAATGCATTGTTTATAAATTGGTGTGTTTCATGTGTGATGTCGGTTGCATGAATGTTGTCTCGAGCATATACTTGTTCAAGTTCCCACCGTTGCAACAGACAACAGGAAACAGTTTCAGTGCTAACATGAAGTGTTAAATAACAATACTGGACCATGAGTTTTGGAATTCAATTGATGCGAAGATACGTTTTAGGCTTTAAAAGGATAGCAAAATTAGCGTTTTATACTTCTAAAGCACCTTTAACATCGTGTGATGTGTTCCGTAGGATCAACGCATCGTGGACTTAATGATGTCTCGACACGAAGACGAGGAAAGAGCTCGTAAGGAGCGGCTCATGTTAGAATTGGAATGGGACGAGCAAAAAAAGTTAGAAGAACAACTGAGACAGGCGAGACAGCGACAGAAACAAGCAGAAATATGGGAGAGTTACAAAGCAAAAGATGCTAAGCAGGTAACATCAAGTACTCTGTAAAAGGCATTGTTACCCTGGATGCCAGACACTTCGATCCGTATTCAGTCGTGTGCTCGGGATTCCGCCGAAGATGTGTCGGCCTAAGGCCGACAACACCGCATCCCGCGGCAAGCGAAAAAACAAACCTCTAGCCCCAGTTGGATAACGTAACGCTGTCCATTGGGTACTCTATCCAGTGGATAGCGCAATTGTTTGTCCTAATACTTATGCGCTTTATAGTGATTTATCCGGTGAATAGCGCTATCCAACGTTTGAACACCCGTGGCCATGGTAGTCAGGGTATAAAATTGTTCTTTCCTCAAAATTTAACGAATTTAGGAACGGGAGTGCGTTTTGAATATTTCTTTATTTTCCTTGTATTCAACATAAGAAGAAAAAGTGAAACTAAAGGAATGAAGGCCAAATTATAGGCTTGTTATTTAACTATCTATTTCCCCGAAATCCGCATGGTTATTAACCGGTTAACTTGGTCAAACTTAATCACATTTTAAAGATGGCGTAGTGAAGAAGACACTTTTCTTAGGTTAAAAAAACCTTTGAACAGAGGGCGAAGAAACTTGTTGTCGATGTTTTTTTTTTTAACCATAGCGTTAAGATGAATAACCTAAGGTTCATGAAAGGCCTTTTTCACCTTTTTACGACAATCTAGTACGAAGTGCGGGCAAGACGACTAAGAAACGAACAGCGGCTTAAAAAAGACAAAGTAGAGATGCTGCTGTCTAAAGACTACGCTTGGCAAATGGAGAAACGAAAGCAGGAACACATTAAGGTACGTCTTCATTTACACGCCGTTCATGTTTCCCTTTGTTCGATCTAAAGGAAAGTGCGTTTTTCTTAAACTCAGACCTGTGAGTTAAACGTTGAGTTAACTGTAATTAAAAATTGTGACCCGTTTTTCTCCCTCATGACCCTCTTAAGGGTCCTGTGGTCCCCAGTGTCAGTAGAAAATCCTGCTAAGAACACTGTTTCTTTTTCGTTTTGGGCTCTTCATATACAAAGCTTGTTGGCCTGAACATCAGGGCTCACACGTCTAACGTTTGCTTTCATGAGCGAGCATGCTTCGGAGATGATTTTTTCAGTAGTTTCTCGTGTAAAAGTAGAATCCGAATTATGGTTTTAAATAGCCCAATATGTCATCGTCAAATAAAGTAGCCTGTTCCAGTCGTTGAGATAGTGAAGAGCGGCGCGAAATTGAACCTCTTGCTGTGTTTCCTGCTCACATTTTTTTGCGTTGTCCCCACTATCTGAACGCCTGGAACAAGCTAGCTTTGAAGGCGTTTGCCGTGGTGCTTTTGTAGACGGTGGGACTTTGAGAAGGCCCATGTGGAGGGGGGAGGGGTACTCCTAACATGGGCCGTATAGGTATGTGCCGCTTATTAGGGTATGGTTTTTGGGATCTCCATCCTTATTTATAGTCTATCTTTTTTGCTCTTGTTGGCTTTGTGTACCCGGTGTGATCCTTAGGTAGGGTACTGTTATTATATCAGCTAAAATTAAAGTGGGTAAATGCGCAGCTACGCGAGAATCAAGTCCTCTATTAAGACTTAACTTTACCTTTTTGGGGATTTCCGTTAAATTGTTAGTGTTTGTTTTTTCCTTGAATTGGGTCTCATTTTCAGGTTTATGACTTGAATAGGGGATCGATTTTCGTTTGCCTTTCTTTAAATCTTTAAATAGGGTCAGGGTTTAAACACCCCGCCCCCACCCCCACCCCTACGGGAGAGAAGGGGCGGATGGCGGGACTGGAATTATACAGAAAGGACCACCAGTTCAGTTCAGTTCAGTTTATTGTTTTGCCATAAGTTGTACAGAAGCAAGAAAAATGTAATTATTTAAACTCTCAAGGCGAGGAAGCCCAAGAGAAGCCACCGGGCTTATAGAAAATGGAAAAATCAATGGCAGAGCTACAGTAAGTCTTAAAATATATTAGATAGTCGTAGTAATCATAGTTAGGTTTAAAAAAGCAAAATGACAAAAAAAAAAGAAAAAAACAAACCAAGACCACCCTCGTTTTTTACGGTTTTTTTTTTTTCATACCTCTAGCCTGTAGTAGTCAGTTTGATTATCTCATTCATGTGGGCTTTCAAGTCCCTAAGACCATAACCCAAGACCATGTAATTATTCCCTTTATTTGCGTTGCCAGGAAAACAGACTCCTTACCAAGAAGATTAAAGAAACTGAGAAAAAGCAGAAACAGGTATTAAAAAACTGCAAGTACTGCAAAAAAGATGATGTGAACTGCGGAAAGCAAATTTTAAATGAAGTTGCAGTGTTATGATTGCAATTTAAGCAATTGCAAATTCACCCTGTCAGCAGAGTCTTTCTTTCGCTTGATAAATTTGGGCGTAGGTCCGTATTTCCTCGAATAATAGTCGGTGACGATTATTTCTTTTCTTCACGTCAAAAGTGGGTAATTATTCGAGGGAGGCGATGATTTCAAATATTGCTTATAGGAAGTCGTGCCCTAAACGTTTTGTCTTATTATCCCCGCAGAAATAAAAAAAACTTATCACTTCAAATAAACTGAACATCGACTTTTTAAATGTTCCAAATTCGGTTCGTTGATTAATTTTCAGAGCTTGAATCGTCACTCATCAGTTTTGCTGGATCAGATTCTACTTCAACTTGACAGGAAGGGGATAAAAGAAAGAGAAAATGGCGAGATGGGTGAGGGGGGGGCTATTATTAGAGGAAGGCGATTATTTTAAATATTTTCCTTCAAAGGGGGGCGATTATTCGAGAGAAGCGATTAATCGGACGGCTATTATTCGAGAAAATACGTTACTCGAGTAAGACTCTGCATGAATTGAGTAACATCTTCGTTGTGCATGCTTGGCATGTTGCTAGGATACAGTTTCGAACCCAGGCCTGATGGCCGTGTGCTTGCTACAGCGGGCTCGGTTATGATCATCGGTTTATCAAAAAAAGGATGCTCGCACTCAAAAAACCAGTTTGACAAGAGAGAACAAGATTGACTAGTCCAGAAGTTTGGTTGCTGCGGCGACCTCAAAGGTTTGATGTTATTCAGACAGCCTCCTTTTTTCCTCCTCACTAAAGACGACAAAAGGAGGCTTTACTTGCAGGGTGTTGCAAATTATTAACCCAAAAAAAATTTTGGGCCCCTACGGGATTCGGACCCATGGCCTCTGCGTTTTAGTGCTGCAGTGCTGTACCAACTGAGCTATGAAGACCCATACATCTGCAAGTATTGTTTGCGAATGGTGAAGTTTGGTGCTTTTTGCACTTAACTTTTTTGCTTGTCCGCAGGAAGAGAATCTTTGGCAGAAGAAACGGGAGGACGAACTACATCGTACAATGACTCATCTGAATCTTTTAGAGAAACATAAAAGTGCCATTGAAAAAAGGGATCTTTTGTCTAATCATGAAAACATGGTAAGGCCTTGTGGCTCAAAGACATTGTGTGGTTTTAAATAGGCTATTTCCTATGGCTTTAACAGGCCATTTAAGAAGATATGAATTTCAGAGAAGCTGAGAACGCACTATAATAATTTTTTGGTGATTTTTGCGGGCATAACTTTTCAAGTTTTAATCATTGTCCATCCTTGGCATCCGTTGCAACGGACGACAGGAAGCAGTTAAATGTACTCAAAATGTACCTATAGTAAATAACAAAACGGTGCCTTTATGTTTGGAATTCAGTTGAGCAAAGACACTTTTTAGCTTTTTAAAAACATAGCAGATATCGTCAGATATATAGCCTCTGTAGTAAACAACTTTAATTGGAAGATGTAAACAGAGGCTGGCTTGAGTGGCAAAAAAAACAAAGTAATATCATTTTGTTTTATAGAACGTTCAAAGCAGAAACCGAGCTGTGAGAAACAAACATCTCAGCTCAAGAAGAGGACTTATTCAGCAGTTAAGGTTAGCAACGGTTTTGCTCTGTTTTAGGATAATTATTCAGGCCATTGTAAATATGATTTCAATGCCTGCTGGGCAACTGCTGGGGCCCAATAGTACTTTGGGGGAAGGGGGGCGGGGGGGGACGGGGCTGGAGTTGTTTTAATGAAAGCCTCGATGACTATTTGGCTACTTATTCCCGCCAACTGCTCCCGACCTCGACTTTGTCCATAGAAACTCAAAAATGGCTATCTTGACCTCACTGTTGGTCAATAACGCACACGTGCGTATCACGTATAGGCCTTTTCGGCTAGTATGTTTTGTTTTTACAATTTATACAGAGTTATTTTTCCTAGGGAATTTGCCCTTTTTGTCCTTTCATAAATTGTGCATATATTTTTGTCATATGCATGCGGATAAGACGGCATTTGAAAGAAATAGTCCTATTGGTTAACATCAGGTGATCTGTAATTGGGAAACAAAACATTCAAGTTAAAAATTACCATTGAGTCAAGATATCTTAAGAATTAATTTTCATTCTTTAGACTAGAAGAAGAGGACCTTCAGCATGAAGTAGCAATCAAGCACCAAACAGCTTTGGTGAATTATCAAAGACAGTTAGCTAGAAAGGACAATCAATTAATACAAAACAAGTAAGTACATTTCAGCAATAAAAGCATTTTTTTGTATTTACACTTGTCAAGAAACGTGCATTTTAAGCTCTGTGGATCGAGGCCATACCAAAGAAAAATTATGCTTCAATATTTTACAGACTTGGAAGAGCTGTTCATAACATTTCTTTTATCATAACTAAACGATTTCTCGCACGCTGATTGGTGGAGCGCTATGTTCGATAAGATCACAGACCATGGGAATGACGTCATGTTTGCGCCTGCGGCCTTGTGGTTCCACTTAAGTTTTGAACATTTTGATGTCATTTCTATGGTCGATAAGATTGCAGACCAAGGAAAATTGTTGTCGATTTGTTAAGTACACTCAAGCTGAAGTGTCTGTTAACTACGCTAGAGGAGGAGACTAGAGCGGCTAAGTGCATTTCTAATCATAAACAGAACCAAGAAGGATAATTCATAAAATGTAGGGCTCACCACACTCGTTTTCCCGTTAGTGGTGTATATTATGTTGTTTACAGTAGCCTACTTAGTAGGCGCATGGTACGCCCAGTTCTTTCTTGCGTCCGTTACTTCCAAGCGGCTGCTATTATATGCTATGCAGGCTATATTTACAATATTTAGTGCATCTCTGTTCCAGGACTTTTTGTCCATGATTGAAGATACTGAATTTTTGTGTGTGCTCTCAGACTCAAGCGAGCGGAAAGAGTTGAACGACAGCAAGAACAACTGAGAAAACTAAACAGTGATATGGAGGAGTGGCGTAAAGAACTTACGGTCTTCAGGCAAGAGGTAATGCTTGCTTTCCACTGTCCAGTTATAGCATTCTTGCTTTCTGTTAACCCCTAGCTCCCACTTATCCTTGTTTTCATATTTTCAAAAATTGTCAGGGTACTTTGTTTTAAGATCAAACAAGGTAACGAACAAACCGCTGGTTTTAACCACTGTACGCATGCGTGGAAGTGTATAGGAGGAAAGTTTTTCGTTTCTCAGAATGGGCGTCGGCATTATTTTCGATCTGTTCAGAGTCGTGTGGGTTCAACTTTCCCATAATCGTTTTTTTTTTTTATAGAAAGACGAGCGAGCAAAAGACACGGCCACCTCGACAATAACGTCAAAACAACGGAGAGTCAAATCGCAGCTTGAGGCTGAGAAAGATGAGCATCAATATAACTTTCAAAGGTAATGATATTTTTTTTTTTTTTTTTTTTTGAGGAAAACACAAGCTCATTCCCAGGCCTTGCTGCTTTATATCGCGGTGCGCGTTGATTTGTGGATCTGTTTTCTTCCCATGAAAGACCGCGCTTCGTCTTTTGTGTCAGAAAAATCAGTCGCGCTCGGGATCGAGACAATAGATAAAAATAAGGCGATTTTAGAAAGGATGGTGGAATACAAAAATTATAGTCAAACAAGTGTTTAAATTTAACAGAGTGAAAGAAGCTGAAGAAGAAAGGAAAAGAGAAATCCAGGAGGTGATTGACGTCAAAGATGAAAGGAGTAAGATGGTGAATACAGAGAAAGAAGAAATAAGGAGATTGGTAAGCATTTTTCTAAGTGGTGGATTTGTAATACAATGGCAATCGTCCCAAATTTTGATAAAACAAGCGCGCGGGGAAGAAGGAGATGAAGTATCATGCTTGTTAATTCTGGCGTCTCATGTTTAGGCGTTGTTTTGTTATTTTTATTATTTCTTTTGAATTCAAGATACGAAACGAACGTAGAGCTCGCTCTTACCCATTCGCCAATTTAAAAACAAGAGAGAAACTGGGGCGAATTAATTTTCCCAAATACTTCTGGGACTGTTACTAGGGACAGGAAAACAAATTGACCAATAGCTGGCCGGCGCTGTTCCCAGTTACGATTCCAGAAGCAACTGCGTGACGCATTTTGGGCTCCAGCGCCCTTCTTGTTTTTAAAGTGGCGAATATAGGTATTACAGGTTGCCATGTTCACTCATGAGCATCTTAAGAACATCATCTGACGTTTGTTCTCATCCTTAGAACCGTGATGCAGCTCGCACTTCACAGGCCGTGAGGGACTTGGTTAGAGAACAGACACTCAAAAGGTATCAAGTATTTTGCTATTTCCTTTCTTAAATATTCAGTCTGTTTTGACTTTCTTTCATATCTTTCGTGACATTTCACTCACTCTCACTTTCGCTTCCTTGACTTTCTCTGTATTTTTACCGACGAGCGTGAAGGAAACTGAATACAAAATTTTCTTGGATGTACGATCGCAGGCGTGCATATACATAGGCCAGTTTGAAAGATTTGTAATGAAAAGTGACGTGTCAGCGGGAAAGGAATGAATCAACAGTCAGTATTCTGCTTCATTGGCCAAAGCACATTTTCATTTTTTAGCAAATGTTTAGCATCCACGGACGAGGTAACTACCACTAAAATTCTAGTGCTGTACCTCAGCTTGCTCTGCTTTTCATTTCATTATGATATTATTACTGTCTCGTGTCCGTAACCATCTTCATACAAGCTGTATAACCCTTTAAAAATGTTAGTAACATCACCTTTAATTTCCAGCGCCAGCTATCACTCCATTATATGTTATTTTGTTTCCCACAGTGGCTTCTATATCCATTAATCTGATTGGTATTTGTTTATTAGTTCATTTGATAGGATGGCTGAAAAAGCCCAGCGCCAGGCTCTTGTTGGACGTGGTCCACAGACGGGACACAAGAACAAATCGAGTGTTAGACTAGGTTAAAAAACAATACGTTACCGAAATATTCTTCACCTATACCATGGCTATTTTATAAGTCAATTGTCTTCAATAAAAGGGAACATTTTGGCGTGATATGTGAGGCGCATGTGGAAAGATATATTTTTTTTCCTCTTATTTAAAATCTTATTATTTAAAATAGGCCCCTATCGTATTTTGACATAACACTAGAATACTCGTCACATTCCTTGAAACACATTTACGTTACACTTTCTCCAATTTTGATTGAAGTATTACTCATTTGAACAACGAGTCTGAACACTGGGGAGGAAGAGAAGGAGTAGACAGTGGAAAGTTAAATAACGCGGTTAAGAAGGTGTGACATGAAAAATACTGTGTAGCTGACGGTTGTGTTGAAGCGCGATAAAAAAAAAAATTGCGACGAACCCATGGAAAACGGGACGCAAATTTCGCGAATGAATCGTAAGATGCACGGATCAGGGTAATATATAAGTCAATCATGATAGCTCAGTTTTTATTCGTGACTATTGTGGGGGAATCACTACTGCAAAATGTCTGTGGCCTGAACAAAATTTAAGTCCTGTTTTAATGAGATTGATGGAAATCCACGACCATGAAGACTTGCCAAACCATGATATAAGTCAGCGTTAATCATATTTGAACTAGATATAGCTGATATTCACTTTGCGATCTTAGGATTGACGTACTCATGCACATACCATAACAAAAAAAGACAATGCAGAAAAATCATGATCATACTCAGTGTTTGTCTGTCATATTAGACCCCGTTACTTAAAGTAAAATGAAACAAAATGTGTAGGGTTCACCTCTTTAGCACTAGCTTGGTCGGGTCGTACGCGTTATATTCTTGCGACAGTTCAATAAACTGTGTAACGCAGCTTTGTTGTGTTCTGTTTGTTCGGTATTTGTCCTCAGCTGGACTAGCTTAGTTCCCGTCTCCAGTAGAAGACGTATAAGTACTCTTATAAGTACTTTCGTGCTAAATGCATTGACATTCAAATTAAGTGTTTTTTTTTTCCTTTTTTATCCCCGTTTTTTGGTGAGGATGAGGTGGGACTGACCGCGTCTTATTCAAAGCAACTATAAATAGGATTTAAGAGCTGCAACAACATGGATTGTCTAAAGGAGGGAAGACTTTACATAAGAGATTCATTGAGTGTCAAGTTTGCATTTTTGAAGCGGACAGCCAAAAATTCATTTTTGTAACTCGGGAAAATTTTATCAAATATACATCAACAAGTCAGATATCATGAAGGTCGCATCTACTTTTAATAAAATCGTTACACGATTTCTACTGAAGCAACAGGGCGTTCACAAATAAACTAAAATATGACGACCTTGGTTTCTTCAAGTCCAATCTGGTTATTTCCAGTGCAACTGGTTATTTTCTAGCGACAAAGGCAGAGAATGCCTTAGCCTTCCGCCAGGTGTTTCCACTGCCTCCCCATCCCATATGCAGGTACCACTCATGATCATAACGGTAGATCCACGGACCACAATGCCAACCGAAAAACCAAAAGCAGATTCGCCATTTCTTGTATCTGAAAAGTAAAAAAACGCTTTGGTTGTGGTGTCAGACCAGGGGGCCCGTTTCTCGAACGTCCCGCTAACTTTTCGAGCCCGAAAAACTGTTCTGTGTTTGCCGTGTTTGTGTTCAAGATCAAAGTTTCAATAATTTTGACAACGATGCATTGAAACTATCAGTTAACGAAGCAAAATTGGCTGTTAGTGAGCTAGGAAGTTTGCTATTATTCAAGTAGTTTTGATTTCAAAATTTGCCTTCGGGCCCGAAAAGATATCGGGACTTTCGAGAAACGGCAGCTGTCATTCAGGACCGGGGATTTCGCAAGGCTACTATGGGCATGACCACGGCTATTTTCATAGGAATCAAGACTACTAAGACTGAAAATAGAACCAAAAGAAATCCCTTGCTGTTCAATTGTCCGCTAACTAACTGCACATACCCTGACCCGGCAACCTGAGAACTCAGCCACAGCCCTACCAAAGGGTGTGCCGGGCTAGCGCTAACTTTATGAACCGAAATCATGAGTAGTGATGCAGTGTATTTTTGATATTGTTCAAAAATACAACTTGTCTTTTTAACTATTCTTATAATCTACGTTTGCGCTCGTAGTTGAAAGCAAATGTAATTTTGACAATGATGCATTGAGACTATCAGTACGTGAAAGCAAATGGCCTTATTACCTAGTTTGTTGTCTTGCCTCAGTGTACCTAGCGTGATTCTCAGGAGATTTGGTCCTTTGTCTTACTGGAATAGCGTGCAAGTTCAATAGAAAATCATCTGAAATACAGTGTGAAGGAACGTATGATCTAGTGTGCATAAATGCAACCGCCAAGGTGTCGGGTAGGTCACGTGGCACTCGATAGATACAACTGGGCGAACTGACTTGAATTTAACTTTATCTCAGCCACATAAATCACTTAAACATTCTCACCTTGATCGGTATCTAGTAGCAACGGCGTAATGCTGAGATGAGCCGACCCAGATCCCCACGATGGCAGGATACCGGGCCTTGACGGCATTGATTGCGGAGTTTCTGATCCAAGGGCGATATATCCCAGGGAGACTGGACCACCAACTCGTGTAGGACGACAGGCTACCTCCCAGGGGACTCTGTCGGGCTAGGTACCAGTTCCACAGTTTGCTGTCGGTCATATCCCAGTGTGTTGTCGCTCCGCCTCCAAATAAGCAGAAAGTATCGACCTGGGCGCGGATATTTTCAACGTAATATCTGGGCTGTTTGATAAAGATACGAAAAAGATTTAAGACAAAGGAGGCCGCAACTCAAGGTTTGAAATCTGATCCTGGTTTTTCAAACGTTGAATAGCGTTATCCATCGGTGCGCGTTTTCCATCGGCACAAGCGATTTCTAGCGCGCTAATTGGTCGAGAGCTATGTTCGATAAGAGTACAAACCATGGAATGACGTCATGGTTCGGCTATTTGGTTTTCTTTCTCGTGCAGGTGATCTTCCGAGAAAGTTCAACGGAAATGGCCTTAAAAACTGTCAATGTCATGTCATTGCGGCTCGTGGCTGCACTTGAGTTTTGAACATTTTGATGAGGGAAAAAATATTTTTTTGAGGGAAACGAATTGCGTTATCCACCGGATAGGGATTTATTCAGTGGATAGCGGCGTTATACACCCTTTGATCAATTGAGGCCTGGGCGCTAGATAATTTGTTTCAAGCCTATGAGTATCTACTTACAGTGTACCCCGGTGGCTGGTATGCAGAGCTCCCAGAAACACCGTAAAAGCCTTGATAGAGCTTCTTATTATATCCGTATGATGACGAGAGATGTGCCAATCTGTTAAATAAATAAGGATAAGTTCGTCAATGAAGACAAGTGAGGCCAAGGTTTTCTTCCATTTGGCGTAGAAGTGATCAGTTCAGCTGGTTGTTACGAGTAACACTAGCGAAAATCCTGGGTTACCCACACTGACAACTTATACGCCCTGATTTTAAATACATAGCTAAAGGCAGGATCGGCGCTAACCGAAAACAAATAGCTTCAGGTAAAAGCTCTGCCCAGTGACTTTCATTTGAATGGTCACATCACCAATAGGATTTTGTCTACAGACCCAATGAAGTTTAAAGAATCCTTGTGCAGTAAAACAAGAAATATAAACAGTAGTATCATGTGAAAGTACTGTCAAAGAGGCTTCCTTCGAATGCCAGGTAGAGAAAAATCTTATCTAATGAAGTTGCGGGAGATAAAACACACTTCGCCCTGTGTAAGGATATCATCCAAGAGAGCCTTGGAAGCTCTTGGATACTGGATTCCAGGGATTTCACTCTGTAGAGTCTAGATTCCAGGTACTTGATTCCGGGATCCTGAGCTGAATTCCTGATTCCAACACCCAAGGTTTCAGATTCCACAGGTAAAATGTAGCCGGACTACCTTATATGGAGCGATACGTATTCTCGTCCCCAAGCCACTCGGCTTAATTTGTAACCAAGATGAACGAGGGGCTCCGGGGACGAGAATGGGGCGATACGCTAATAACGAGTTTTACCTGTCATAATAAGCAAATATCTGTGCCCAGGCCACTGGTCCGCAGCCACTATAACATCCGCAACATCTGTGTTGGTTGTAGTTTGGAAACAAATGCGGGGAGTAGATACTCCAATAGGACCAAGAACTCCAACGTTTGGTCCGAGAGGTGTAGTTCGTCTCTATGCCAAAACGTTTTTCTACCACCGTTCCATCGGCTAGAGTCACTTGAATCCTAAAACTGACGTCTGTGTTCATGAGCACTTTCTGTACTGTAAGGTGATCTTGGTGAATGGCCAGCTCAAAATAATTAATACCATTCCGAGCGACGAAAAATAGTTGGCTGTTCACCACAGTCAGGTCGCGACCGGTACAAACTGAAATTTACGTACAGTAAATAAACATGAGAACAATTCATTACAGAAACCATTGCACCATTTTATATTTGACAGATTACGAGCAATTTTTGACCAAGACAATCATAAAAGGTTACTTCCAAAATTCTTGCAGGTTTAACTCTTTATCGTTGTGCTCTTGTACATTATGTTTAAGAAATATCACATAATAAATTTTTCTTGCACCTCAATTTTATTACTATTCTTGTTTTGCTTTCGTTCTTAGTTTGGGATAAGGGGTTAACCAGGAACTGGACGCGAATATCAATGCAGAGCACGAGAAGCGCGGGGTGGGGGACAGGAAAGCTTTTTGCTTGACCAGTTTCTACCCCTACCCCCTACCCCCTAAACTCTAAGCTTACACTCCTCCCAGTTTACGGCAACAAGAACATCAAAACAGCAATAACAAAACAATAACATCGCACGCGCATCACACTCTTTGGTACATTTGTTATCCGTTACTGACGAATCAGTTTTCTCTCTCTCTTTCGGGACTTGCATATGTTTTCTCCTTGAGATTACAGAGAAAACAATTTCTCGAACGTTGCACAGAGCGGAACCCATCCTGTCGCGAACCCGGTATCAGTGACGTTCGAAAAAATGGGGTCAATTTAATATAACCGTGATAACAAGGGTAATTTACAAGTGTAGCTGTTGTTTTTAGACCTTAAAACAATAGGCACAGTTGTATTAAAATTAATTAAACATCGTGTAAAAGTTTTATCAAATTGGCCCCTGGTGATGAAGAATATTTCTCGTAATATCATGTCCCAACAGCAGATTCTTTATTCTTTGAACTCCACTGAGGAGAGTTCGCCTAGGATTGACAGAGTCACGAGCAAATTAGAATAATCATGATGAAGTATCTACGAACGCGAATTCACTTTTGTAGTGATCACGTGATGTTTTTGCCGCTGTCGCCGTCGTGCTATCATCCTCGTTCCCAGAGGCCGCGTTCCTTTTTGGTCAGCGTCCTAAACAACAGGATCGCAGCCTCTGGGGACGAAAGTGTCTTAAAATCTCTCATGCCTAAATCTGCGATTTATTGGAAAGCCACATCTCACCATTCCTCAGAACTTGACAAAGTCTCTTCTGCCATTCAGCGCTTGCAAGATCACTTTTTTTGCCACCTGTACCAGAGAACAGTATCCTTGGAGATACCTTAGACTGGGAGCGCAATCCCAGAGACACCCTGGCTTTAGATCCTGCCTCCAAAACATCTTCTCCGTATCTTTCTTCTTTCTTTACATTCTGTGTGTACTTGAGGCTCCCCCATTCACCTTCCTCGCCAACTTCGTACGAGAGCTCTTTCCATTCTTTGTTAAAGTCTACAAGGCTTAACTTTACCATTCCAGCTAAACTTTTCCACTGCGAGGTATTAATCTGAAAGCGAATACACAACTTATTTCCAGTCTCTGTTCCTGGGCTTAAACAGCAGTGCTTCTTTCCGTCGTGCTCATAGAAAAATAACGAAAATATTGTACAAAATTCAAGAAAAAAGTTCGCAATTTTTTGCTTGAATCTCAGTTAACTCTTGTATACTGATTATTATTTTTAGATTGCTATTTTTGTTTGAGAAAAAGGATTCTGAGAAAGAAAAACTTATCCAATATGAATGAAACAAAATAAATAGACTGGTACAAAAATCAGTATGTTGCTTTTTAATATTTAGTATATGGGCTGGCTCTGTTATAAGACAAACAATGAAGTAACTGGCTACATGTATGGCACTGACCACGAGGAAACTAATATTATTTATTTAATCGCATACCAAGGTAAAATTAACCACGAAGCTTTGCATCGAAAACAAACAAACATAAATAAATAAATAAATGAAGAACTGCTAATAATATAATGATCATAATCATAATCATAAAAATAAGTCGTCTGCCTGCATACAGCCCTGGGCTGTCTTGCTGATGATTGTCAGTTTTCTTAAAGGTATCACGGCCGTCATTATTTTTGTAGCGAAAGTAGAGAAAAATGTTGTAATCCTACAAATACCCCTTTAATATCAAAAACTTCAAAAACCACAGACTAACCGGCGCGTTTGAAGTCCAATTATACGTGGCGGCGACAGGAGTTCCACGCTGGTCTTCACACATGTACAACCCAGCCTGGCTAAGACGGTAATGCCTGTAACAACTCTGGCCATTCTTTCTTGCTTGAATGTTTAGCGCATCAGTTGGACGGTATTGCTGAGCAGTAGCATTGATCTCACCGCTCTCTACAAACCGGTTATCACCGGTTTTGGAACCAGCAGACAGAAGATAGAATTCCTTCCCGTCACCGCTTAGGATTTCATAGTAGGCAATATGATTAGTGCCCAGGTCCTTGCGGTAAATAGGCCGAGGTCCGTCTTTCTTTAGCAGGTTGGTGGTTACCAGGCCACTGAAGCCTTTCTCGGTCATTAGATCAAGAACTGTATCTTGGGCTTCGTAGGACAGAAGTGCGCTGAGTGACGGCTGTGTTACCATGGAAACAAGTAACAAGGCCGCTATTAACCTTGGGATATCCATTATACAGTTCGGAGGCCTAAAAATAGAAGTGAAAATGTTTCAACACACAAACACAGCTGTTTTAATGACCTTGAAGAGGTGACGTTACACCATGCATTGAAAAAACGCCACTGGTGACTTGACAATAAAAATTGTTTAAAACTGCAAAATACTATAGTTTTCGGACGAAATAAATAGTGATAGCGTAAAGTAATTTAAAAAAGTTAAAAGTAAGGAGACCGCGAGTAAACCTGGGACGCAACGAAGCCTGGAACTCCACATTTAGTCCCCCCTCCCCCTCCCCCCGCATTAGTATTAATCATTTCACATGTGGTGAACAAGTTTGTCGCAACCAAAAACACTATCACATTTCAAAAAACCCTTTCGAATTGTGCCCCCTTGCTTTTTATGAAAATATGGTGGCTCTGAAATTCCTCATAACAATTCTTTTAAAGTTTGCAACTGAATATCAACAAGTTGATTTGCTCACTGAGGTCACATATAAGTCAAGGAATCCTTTCCAAGTAATTTCAAAAGCAACTGTAATACTATAAGTTTTATAGAATCACTTACCCCTCTCTGGGCCAGGCCACTTCGATTCCCTTCAATGCAGCACAATATCAATAACAATTCTCATCCCGTTGCTTCTTATTTTATAAACTGATTGTGGGAACTAGCAAGTGTTGTTTTCGCTTGTACCACTCCATTCTACTCAATTTCCAATTACTCAGCTGTTGCCTTTCCACATCAGAGGTGTTTAAACAACAGAATATATTTGACACAAGGCACTTGGTTTATTTACTAACTCTTTGAGTTTCTCCTCGCGTTATATGCATGGCTGACATCCTTGTATGTCATTCAATCGGACTGTAAACATACTAAAAGGTGTAGATATGTGTTCACAAAATTGTCTCTGTAGACTATTTTCCACGTAAAGGGTACGTTTTAAGGGTATTTAAAGCTAGTTAAAGCTACACAGAAAGGAGAGAAGTCTTGAAACAAAGATGTAATGCCACCGGGGATCGAACTCGGGACCTCGCGCGCCGAAGACCTCTCACTAACTCCTGACGGTGCCTTCCTTGTCCCTCGTGCACACATAGTCGTGTTGGCCCTTGTGCTGGCCCGGGCCCGTGGATCCAACCCGGGACCTCCCGTTCTTCCAGGGGCCCATTCCCTAAAGTATAACTTTTATCAAATATAACTTTTATCAAAATCTAGGGAATAAAAGCGCCTGTCCTAGCTAAGAAATCAGTCTATTTTGTGTTTTGAACTGATAGTTTAATTATAGTATCTGTAACACTCTTGAGACCTGCCCATCTTGAATATAAACAAAAACAGCATTTTGTGTCCGTTAATATCGGGACTTTCGCAACAGGACCAAGCTAACTCATCAACGCCTACGAAGTTAGTATTCGTTGCCATCAAATCTTTCTTTTTTCTGAATCTACTGGCACAGTCTTTTTTCTTTAACTTGCCATAATTACTCAAGTAAGTTGATACCACCTATTTAATCATCTGTTCTAAATCACATTTGATTTAACGTGCGTTCGTGTGTTTAGTATTGTTTCATTAAGTGCTCTAAAATGGTTGTTTACCTTTCTACGGGTCTATAATGCCAGCTTCATTTTCCGTTTGGCAGAAAATATCATATGAGCTGACATATGTGAGAATAATATCACTTGTTCCTAGCTCGTATTGGTACACCTGTGTATTTCAACAGAATTACTAAACAAATCAACTACGATGCGTTTAGTGATACGTTATGTAGCTATTCTAGCTTACGAGTTTGTGGAAGGAAACTTAATAAAGTTCTCATGGTAGTTTAACTCTTTTGAGTCTGTGGACGAAATCCAATAGTCATGATGATCATTAAAAGGAACACTCTTTGGCAGTAGTTTTGAGTGGTACTATTCTTTTTGCTGTATAACATTGTTCAAACTGTTTAGTCTTTGAAGAAAACCTCTCTTGAGTCACGGTGGCCATTCCAATGAGACGTCCCTGAGATTCCTTGCAAGTTACTTTTTTATTTTTCAAACTGAATTTTATAAAAGTTAAAAAATAATTGCAGTGACAAGAATAGCCTGTACTCAGACGTTTTTTTTATTCGGCGAGCGCGGAGCCCGAGCAAGAAAAAAAGAGACGTTTTATTTTTCTTTCAGGCTTTGTTTTCGAAATCGGTTTCTATCACGCGCGCTCGACGGACTTTGAAGAGAAAATAGAGGCACTGTGAACAGGCTATGACAAAAAGAATTTCTTTCTAGTCGAAGATATCCAACAGTCACCTTCTTTATCTCTAGTTTTATTTACATTTGACTTAAAACCACTTATTTTTACAGCTCAGTAAATAATTAACTTCCATAAATTTAGCTTAATTCACCTAATCTCTGGAGAACGAAAGATACTTTTAAGAAATTAAAAGCATTTCCACTAAAATCATTTGCAGCAGCAACAGAGCCAATCTAATATTTAGTGACAGCTTTGTATCGGTCGTTCACCTCGGCACCCCTACCAACGGATGGTTACTCTAAACACACAGTTTATCTGAACTTTCAGAAAAGAAAATCTTAAAAAAAAAAGATTATTCTAGCGCTCAATTTGTATAACCACTTTACTTCAACAGACTAGCTTAGAACTAAAAAGGAAACTTCAAACAATCCTAAGAACCGCCGTTCGGCGTTATTTGGGTCGCCAACGAGGGTAAAAAAAACCTGCGCGGTTTTGTTCCTGCTAAAGCCAACAATTTGGTAGCAAAATAAAAGATTCATTTCAAATGATTTTCTGTGTCATGCGAGTTTTAACAAAGAAACCTTGATCGATTGTTGTTGATAGCTGTCCATCGTCAACAGAACCCACACATCTCCTTCGTAGGCTACCCATCGCGTCGCAACAGTGTGTACCAAGCTGGCCATACAAGGCATCCTGCCGCCAAGTGAGCCTTCATATTCTCCAAAAAGCGAAAACATAAATCCAAGTGACTTGCACAAAAAAATGGAGACTGCGTTGAAAGCCGCGCCTGTCACGTGATTGCGTCGAACGTTTGTCCATTAAATATTGGGGGCACATCCAGTAAGGCTCCGATGGTTAATTCGGCTGCCTTTTCCGCCAGCTTTGAATTGTCAGGATTTTCCTGTTGAAATACAAGATAGCTTTCAGTGGTTACAACATGGGATTCGACCCCACCAAACACGAAAGTTAATTTTTGTAAACGAAGTCGTTCGCGTAGTTGGTTAACTCTACGAAGCAGTGGGCATTAGGAAGTCACCGTTAGGTTTTCATGGTTTGAGTTCAAATGCATGTGGTAACACTCTCTTAGGGCCGGTAATTCTATTATAAATTTTCACTCTAGTTAGAAACGACAAAATCGAAGTTGTTAGACTATGTAATTGTTAAATATTCCTGTGAAGTTCACTACGAAGAGGTAAAATGAATAATGTACTGTACCTTTTGATTATTGAGGGCTAGGCTGACAAATACACCAAAACAAATAACACCCTGTTCATGAACACGTGACTTCATTTCCTCTATAGCAAGCTGTCGAGTGACAAAAAATAAATGTTTCGTAAAACAAAGTGAAAAACTTGTTCAACTTTAGTTAACTAGAAAAAAGATGAGTTTATAAGTAAACACACACACACAAGATTGGAAAGCCGATACCACCCAGCATTTCCGAACCCCACGGCAATTCCTATGAATTGCAGCTTTACAGAATCGTAGAGACGAGCACAGCGTAAACGAGGATCCATATAGTTTGGGATGCATGCATACTATTGATGCGGCACTAAGCTACACGATGGATCAAGTAAGCGAGTCTGTGAATTGGCTTGAGTAAAATAATATTAACAAGGATCTCCTACAAATAATAAGGAATCTCTGCCGAACTTGATTAGCTTTTGCTTTTTGGGGGTGGAACAGTAATTTGAAAATGCGCGAGAATAAATTACTTAATAATAATAATAATAACTTAATAAATAGATAAATAACCTTAAACAACTAATATCCTAGATTTCTCCAGTTATACATGTAAAAGACAACTTTTGTTATCAGTTAAACTAAACATGCCTCTTCCAGGTAAGCAAATTTTAAACTACATATCGAGGGTGACCATCACTATGCGGGGCCTGGGTTCTAAGGACACCTTAACCAACCTTGAATTCAGTGAAGTTCTTTCTGCAGTTTGAAAATCTAACAATTATCAACCTAAGATCTTTCACATGACAACGATTGCATTTTCGTGAGATTTCTTGAGTAAACTGCATCACAGATGCTGGTACGCAAACCTGAAGCAAAAAAAAAGCATCATAGTTAATGGTTAGTAACAGACAGCCACCAAGGTTAGCCCTTTCATACAGAGGAGTGGATGTGTCTGCTTTACAATTATTTTGCGTTTTTTCCGTCGAATAAATGTCCTGTCAGAAACTGTGCTTTAAAAACTGCAGGTGGCTCCTCCCAACACATGTTTTGCGAGTGGTAAATGATTTAATCAAGCCGAACACCAATTATACAACTGCACACATTTTCGAACGGGCAGGGAGCTTAAGTAACGACTACGGCGACGGCAATGAGAACGGCGACAAAGCAACAGGTTTATATTAGCAAAACAACAACTTTGCACGTGCATCACGCTTTTTTGTACATTTCCCTGCCGTTGTTGCACGACTACAACGTGAAACTGCCCGTAGTAATTTCATGTTTTGTCGAGGACGGGAACACAAGACAACAACGTTATTTTTCTTTTCCTGAACTTTGATGCAGTCCCTTAGAATTCAATTCCAAAAAAAATTGCCAACATTTGACGAATTAAACGAGATGGAATGAGCGCGATTAAGTTTGAAGCAGCGCGAATTCACTTCTTAAGTCAGGTTTTCCTAGCCGTCGCCGTCGTTGTTTCTTTGTCCGTTCGCTTACAGTGCTGTCCACCTTACAATGGCTCACGGAGGCAACCAGCCTACAAGGGTGTCGACTCACAGAAGAGCCTTTGCTGGAGGGTACCTCGGATTAGAGTGGTGTCTATATATCTTACAGTGTATCCACATTAAGGGGCTGTCTGCTCGACCTTGATGGGTGTCCACTTAACAAGGCTACCTTACAGTAGTGTCCAATACATGGTGTTCCTGTCTTAAAGCAAAGTTCCCATACAGTAGAAGTGAGGGATTTCCGCCTAGTATTAGCGTCCACCCGACAGTAGCGTTTTCCGCCTACAGATGCGCCCATGCTAAAAAACATTCTCCCGTTAACAGGGGTCAAAAAACTATATTTAAAAAAATGGCAGATGAGACTGAATGGCAATATGAACACTAAAAACAGATGAGAAACGTATTATAAGATACCTTACCGTGGAGGACGTTTTATCATCGAGAGGAAAAACAACAGATACACTGCCGTGGCTAACCTCGGATATCTGCAAAGACAATTCAAGAATCATTATTATCTTTCTACTGAAACTAATTCCACGTTGCTATGAATTCTTGTTTTCATTTTTTTTTTTCCTGTCTTTCTTTGTTTTGCCTTGAGGTCAGAGGCACGATTGACATACTGTCATAAGTATGTTTTGCGTAGCAATAGGTACTTTAAGATCCAACGACGCGGACGGCAACGAGAACGTAAAAAAACAATAGGTTTTATAAGCAAAACAATAACTTTGCACGTGCATCACACTTATTGGTACATTTCTTTGCCGTTTTTGCCCGACTACGACGTGAAATTGCCTAATCTCGCGTTTTATGGATTATATAAACAAGCAACGACAAAATTTTATTTCTCTTTCTTAACTTGGAAATGGTCCATTGGAATTCAACTCCAGGAGGGTTCGCCTACATTTGACAAAGTAATTGGGTAGGAATAATTGCGATTAAGACTGAAAGAACGCAAATTCACTTTTTAAGCGACGTTCTCGTTGCCTTCGCGTCTTTGGATCTTAAAGTCCCTCATGTATCTGAGCTACGTGAAGAAATCACTGCGTTGCCTTTCTACAATAACTGTATTGTCATTGTATTCAATTGTATTCTCATTTATTTAGCCCCCTCACTAGATGTCAATAGTACAAGGATGTGCTTACCAACTGCTCCGCTGATGTTTCGAAGGAATCTTGTTTTTCCGCTGACAGATCGGAATGAAAGGTCGCCTATAGTACGAAATAAATATAGATTATCATACAAACTTTTAATTCATTAGTTTAGTTCGTCGTATGTGAAGATCAACGTTTATCCCGGAGACGCTCTTTAGACGTTCTATCTGTCTGCTTCGGACGATAATGTATATTTAGCCTCGTTCGGGAGAAACACCCGCTGGCCAGCTAAAATTTCCATTCCATTCCATTCACCTTTTAAACGGGTGACCATGGGAGATTTAAGAAAAAAAGTATCCCACAAACTGACCTACAACACATCTTCCCACCGAGCTAAACTCTTATATTTGTAGCAAAAAAATTATAATGAATAAAGTTCGATAACAGTAGTAGCCTTGAAGAAGAATTTTTGCCCGAATCCGCGTCACATAACTCGTCACCACACCTGTTTTCGAACTTATCACAATCAGCTCCTAAAATAAACAAAATTAAAAGGTGCCTTTAATTCACGCACGCACATACTCTTCGGTGGAGGCCAATTTACAGGTTACCATTTTTAGGGTCGATTTTCCAGTCTAAAGGAAAGACCTAAATGAAAAATTGGGCCGATTTTTGTGTTCACCGTGTGCTTTTATATGTTTTCTTGGCAAAATCTCTTAATATCTCGACATCTGTACACTAACGCAGGAACCAATATTGTTAATTACAACCAGCCACACTATAAACGAAATGGAAGCAGGTAGGTGATAAACATAATTATGCGAATTAATTAATGTAAGTGTTAGTTCATGCTATAAGCTCAGTGAAAAGGTGTCAACCGGAATTTTCTCACCGCATGACCGATGACCTAGCGAAAAAAAAAAAGGAACAGCTTTGACGACGCATACATGATGGTGAACCAGACAAGCTCATTACCACCAGGCATAGCTATATTTCTTTCAGCTCTAAATTTTGTTCTTTCCATCACCGCATTCGTGGGGAACACACTGATCCTGGTGGCTCTTTATAAAGTGCCTTCTATTCATCCACCGACAAAACTGTTATTTCGATGTCTTTCAGTCACTGATCTTTGCGTTGGCCTTTTTCTGCAACCATTGTATACTATCCGTATACTAAATAGAGCGACAAACATAATTAGCCCTGGGAATTTGTTGTACATCATCGAAGCAAATTCATCTTTAAGTTTTATTTTGTGTGCAGTATCAGTCCTGACATCGACCGCTATAAGTTTAGACAGACTTCTCGCCCTTACGCTGGGCTTGCGATACAGAATCGTTGTAACGTTGAAGCGAGTTGCTGTACTAGTTACTTGTTTCTGGTCGACTGGTATTTTGTTGGGAATGATGCGCTCTTTCGTGAGCTTACGAATTGCTTTAAATGGGGCTATAATCTGGGCAATATTATCGTTAGTAGCCTCAACCTTTTCCTACGTAAAGATATTTCTCAAACTTCGGCAACACCAAGGTAGAGTGCAAGACCGTCTTCAACAAGTGCAACAAAACGAAGGATTACCGCGGCCATTAAACATGCAACGATACAAGAGAACCGTTTCCAGCATAGCCTGGATTCAGATGACAATGGTTGCTTGCTATGTTCCATTCATAGTAGCGGCAGTGTTAAGCCGTTATAGAAGAGACAATGAGATCGCGTGGAGTGTTTCAATCACAATGTTATACCTAAATTCCTCTCTGAACCCATTAGTTTTTTGCTGGAAGATGAAAGAAATCAAACGGGCAGTGAAGAACACGTTGACACAGTCGTGTTGCCATAGTTAATTGAGTGGAATGGTTATGAAACCCGTCAGACTCCTTTGTTATATGTTTTTGTGGACCTGAAAGTGCACAACGTTCAAAAGAATTCCTATCATTTTGATTGTATTGACCAATAAAAACGTTGCATTAATTTATTCCGTAACAATTTGCCAACAGAAAACAAAGGATTGTGCACTTTCACGGTGCTTTGAACATAAACTGCAACACTGTTGTTTTTATCATTGATGTTTACCGCTTTTCATAACCAGTCTCCTCTAATAACTATGGTATTGCCTATAGTCGAACCTCGTTAATACGGACACAGAGGGGGCCACAGAAAGTGTCGGTATTAACGGGGTGTCCGTATTAAGCGGGTTGAATTTAGAGAAAATGTAAGGGCTTTCTTTCCCCAGGGACAAAGCAAACTGTCCGTAATAGTGAGGTGTCCCATAAATCTGGTTTGACTGTCTCTACGTACTTAGGTGGACACTGCAGTGCACATATCAGAAAACGTGCCGAGATCGTGCTTCCGAATTTAAACCGTCTCTGTATGGGCCATTTTCAATGGAAGGTCTTGAGAATTCAAATTAAATTTAATTATTGAAGTGGAAGTAAGCCTCACCTTCCATTAGAGTAGAGGAGGTTTGTGTGGCGCTAAGTATTGCAAGATAGTGAAACGCGTTTTTACGCATTATTAGATGGAATAATTATTCTTTATCCAAAAGGACGAAGCTCGGACGACGTACGTTAGTTCTAGTTACTTATTTCAAGTTAATAAGAGTTTTTTTTTGATGAGAGGATAAGTTAAACGCTTTCTTAGCTGCAGCATATGAGTTCTTTTAAATTCAAAGAGTTTGTTGACAACATTACGCCGGCTGAAAACCAGTAATAAATGGCCATGATTTAGCTGCAAATTTTTATAATCAACAAATTATCGTAGTTCACAAACCATGTCGCATCGACGCGTTTACAAGGTTCAAATTCATGCGACACGTTTAATAAGAAACGTCCAGCTACAACAGAAACATTTTCGAGAAAGAAACAAAAAGGTTCACAAGGAACTTAAAGCGTTGGTCACCTGCTTATTGTTGGCATGCTTCCATCGGCAAAAGGAAGTCGTTTAGAAGTCTCTGATATTGATTCGGGAGTCTTGACAACGTCTCTCCCCAGAACATTCTTGATTCTCGAGTTCAATATCACCTCGACAGGGGCGTAGCCAACATTATGGCATAGAGGGGTTTCTAATGTGGTATTTTTGTCTAGATTGACAATCGAGCTTTAGAAGACATGGGGTATAAGGCATTCTCCCCCGGAAAAGGTTAATACTTTAGGTCCTCAGAAATTTCGTTTTGTGATTCTGAGCAGAAATTTCCAATAACAGTGCCAAATGAAGCTAGTATTTTTTCGCTTTCAGTGTTAAGATAGTGTGATAGACCTAAAAATGTATATATCCATAATGGTTGAATACATTAAAACACACACTGTAGCCCTGTGGGCATGATTTGCAGTTTACTCAGTTATTAGCAAGAAGGAGACATCATGGATGCTTCCGTACAAAGGTGTCGATTGTTGGAGTTAGGTCAATTTGCGTAAAACAATGGATGTTCATCATAGCAAATGCAAAATCTAGGGAATAAAATCGCCAGTCCTTGCTGACAAATCAGCCTATTTTGTTTTTTGAAATGATAGTTTAATCATGGCATAGTATAAAAGCTGGACTGGACTCTGGACCAGTCCCGGTTTTATACTATGCCTTTAATCATAGTATCTGTGAAACCATTGAGACCTGACCATCTTGAATATAAACAAAAACAGCATTTTGTGTCTGTTAATATCGGGACTTTCGCAACAGGACCAAGCTCACGCATCAACGCCTACGAAGTTAGTATTCGTTGCCATCAAATATTGCTGTTTCTGATTCTACTTGCACAGTCTTTTTTCTTAAACTTGCCATAATTACTCAAGTAAGTTGATACCACCTATTTAATAATCTGTTCTAAATCACATTTGATTTAACATGCGTTTGTGTGTTTAGTATTGTTTCACTAAGTGCTCTAAAATGGTTGTTTACCTTTCTACGGGTCTATAATGCCAGCTTCATTTTCTTTTGGCAGAAAATAACATATGAGCTGACATATGTGAGAAGAATATCACTTGTTCCTAGCTCGTATTGGTACACCTGTGTTTTTCAACAGAACTACTAAACAAATCAACAGCGATGTGTTTAGTGATACGTTATGTAGCAGTTCTTAACTTGCTTACGAGTTTGTGGAAGGAAACTTAAAAGAGTTCTCAAGGTAGTTTAACACTTTTGAGTCTGTGGACGAAATCCAATAGTCATGATGACCATTCAAATGTACACTCTTTGGCAGTAGTTTTGAGTGGTACAATTCTTTATGCTGTATAACATAGTTCAAAGAAGAAACCTCTCCTGAGTCACGGTGGCCACTCCAGTGAGACGTCCCTGGGAGTCCTTGCAAGTTGCTTTTTTATTTTTATAATATAATATTTTACAAACTGAATTTTATAAAAGTAAAAAAAATAAGAGCAGTGACAGGAATAGCCTGTACACAGACGTTGTTTTATTCGGCGAGTGCGGAGCCCGAGAAAGAAAAAAAGTAGACGTTGCTTTATTTTTCTTTTCTTTGTTTTCGAAATCGGTTTTTATCACGCGCGCTCGACGGACTCTGAGGAGAAAATAGAGGCTCTGTGAACAGGCTATGGCAAGACTGAGAATTTCTTTCTTGCTGAAGATATCCAACAGTCACCTTCTTTATCTCTAGATTTATTTACATTTGACTTAAAACAACTTATTTTTACAGATCAGTAAATAAATTGGCTTCCATAATTTTAGCTTAATTCACCTAATCTCTGGAGAGCGAAAGATATTTTTAAGAAATTAAAAGCATTTCCACTGAAATCTTTTGCAGCAGCAATAGAGCCGTTCTAATATTTAGTGACAGCTCTGTATCAGTCGTTCACCTCGGCATCCCTACCAACGGATGGTTACTCTAAACACACAGTTTATCCGAACTTTCAGAAAAGAAAATCGTTAAAAAAATGATTATTCTAGCACTCAATTTGTATAACCACTTTACTTCAACAGACTACCTTAGAACTGAAAAGGATATTTCGAACTATCCTAAGAACCGCCGTTCGGCTTGGGTCGCCACCGAGGGTAAAAAAAACCTGCGCGGCTTTTTTCCTGCTAACAATTTGGTGGCAAAATGAAAGATTCATTTCAAATGATTTTCTGTCTTATGCGAGTTTTAACAAAGAAACCTTGATCGATTGTTGTTGATAGCTGTCCATCGTCAACAGAACCCACACATCTCCTTCGTAGGCTACCCATCGCGTAGCAACAGTGTGTACCCAGCCGGCCGTGCAAGGCATCCTGCCGCCATGTGAGCCTTCATATTCTCCAAAAGCGAAAACATAAATTCAAGTGACTTGCACGAAAAATGGAGACTGCCTTGAAAGCCGCGCCTGTCACGTGATCGCGTCGAACGTTTGTCCATTAAATATTGGGGGCACATCCAGCAAGGCTCCGATGGTTAATTCGGCTGCCTTTTCCGCCAGCTTTGAATTGTCAGGATTTTCCTGTTGAAATACAGGATAGCTTTCAGTGGTTACAACATGGGATTCAACCCCACCAAACACGAAAGTTAATTTTGTAAACGAAGTCGTGACTGACAAGCCATGCAAGAAAGAAACCTCTGTTCGCAGGGTAACGTCCAGAATAAGCCTTGAATTAACATAGAACCCTTCTAAACTCTACGTAGCAGTGGGCATTAGGAATTCACCGTTAGGTTTTCATGGTTTGAGTTCAAATACATGTGGTAACACTCTTTTAGGGCCTGTAATTCTACTATAAATTTTCACACCAGTTAGAAACGACAAAATCGAAGTTTTTAGACTACGTAATTGTTAAATATTCCTGTGAAGTTCGCTACGAAGAGGTAAAATGAATAATGTACTGTACCTTTTGATTATTGAGGCCTGGGCTGACAAATACACCAAAACAAATAACACCCTGTTCATGAACACGTGACTTCATTTCCTCTATAGCAAGCTGTCGAGTGACAAAAAATAAATGTTTCGTAAAACAAAGTGAAAACTTCTTCAACTTTAGTTAACTGGAAAAAAGATGAGTTTATAAGTAAACAAACACACACAGGATTGGAAAGCCTATACCACCAAGCATTTTCCGAACCCCACGGCAATTCCTATGAATTGTAGCTTGACAGAGACTCGTACCGGCGAGCACAGCATAAACGTGGATCCATATAGTTTGGGATGCATGCATACTATTGATGCTGCACTAAGCTACACGATGGTAAAGTAAGCGAGTCTGTCATGAATTGGCTTGAGTACAATAATATTGGCAAGGATCTCCTACAAATAATAAGGAATCTCTGCCGGCCTTGATTAGCTTTTGCCTTTTGCGGGTCGAACTGTAATTTGAAGATGCGTGAGAATAAAGAAAAAGATATATAAATAAATAAATAATACCCTAGATTTCTCGACTTATAACAGACAACTTTTGTTATCAGTTAAACTAACACGCCTCGTCCAGTAAGCAAATTTTAAATTACATATCGAGGGTGAACATCACTACACGGCGTCCGGGTTCTAATGACATCTCAACCAACCTTGAATTCAGTGAAGTTCTTTCTGCAGTGTGAAAATCTAACAATTATCAACCTAAGTTCTTTCAAATGACAATGATTGCAGTTTCGTGAGATTTCCCGCGTAAACTGCATCACAGATGCTGGTACGCAAACCTGAAGCAAAGAAAAGCATCATAGTTAATGGTTAGCAAAGGCAGCAATCAAGATGTAGGCCTTTCATACAGAGGAGTAGATGTGTCTGCTTTACAATTATTTTGCGTTTTTTCCCTCAAAAATATGTCCTGTTAGAAACTGTGCTTAAATTGTGGGTGGCTCCTCCCAACACATGTTGTGCACGTGGTAAATGATTTAATCAAGCCGAACACCAATTATAAAACTGCACACATTTTCGCACGGGCAGGGAGCTTAAGCAACGACTACGGCGACGGCAATGAGAACGGCGACAAAGCAATAGGTTTATATTAGCAAAACAACAACTTTGCACGTGCATCACGCTTTTTTGTACACTTTCCTGCCGTTGTTGCACGACTACAACGTGAAACTGCCCGTAGTAATTTCACGTTTTGTCGAGGACGGGAACACAAGACAACAACTTTCTTTTTCTTTTCCTGAACTTTGATGCAGTCCCTTAGAATTCAATTCCAAAAAAAAAAATTGCCAACATTTGACGAATTAAACGAGATGGAAAGAGCGTGATTAAGTTTGAGGCATTGCGAATTCACTTTTTAAGTGAGGTTTTCCTAGCCGTCGCCGTTGTTGTTGCTTCAACTCCCCAGTTTCTTTGTCCGTCCGCTTACAGGGCGGTCCACCTTACACTGGCTCACAGAGGCAACCAGCCTACAAGGGTGTCGACTTACAGAAGAGGGTCTGCCTGTCTTAAAGGAAAGTTCCCATACAGTAGAAGTAAGAGGTGTCCGCCTAGCATTAGTGTCCACCCGACAGTAGTGTTTTCCGCCTACAGATGCGCCCATGCCAAAACAGGTTCTCCCGTTAACAGGATCACTATATTTCAAAACCACGACATTGATCTTATGGTGAAAAGCAGTAAGGCATACATGGCAGATGAGACTGAATGGCAATATGAACACTAAAAACAGATGAGAAACGTATCATAAGATACCTTACCGTGGAGGACGTTTTATCATCGAGAGCAAAAACAACAGATACACTGTCGTGGCTAACCTCGGATATCTGCAAAGACAATTCAAAAATCATTATTATCTTTCTACTGAAACTAATTCCACGTTGCTATGAATTCTTGTTTTCATTTTTTTTTTCCTGTCTTTCTTTGTTTTGCCTTGAGATCAGAGCGACGATTGACATACTGTCACAAGTATGTTTTGCATAGCAATAGGTACTTTAAGATCCAACGACGCGGACGGCAACGAGAACGTAATAAAACAATAGGTTTTAGAAGCAAAACAATAACTTTGCACGTGCATCACACTTATTGGTACATTTCTTTGCCGTTTTTGCACGACTACGACGTGAAATTGCCTAATTTCGCGTTTTATGGATTATGTAAACAAGCAACGACCAAATTTTATTTCTCTTTCTGAACTTGGAAATGGTCCCTTGGAATTTAATTCCAGGAGGGTTCGCCTACATTTGACAAAGTAATTGGGTAGGAATAATTGCGATTAAGACTGAAAGAACACAAAATTCACTTTTTAAGCGACGTTTTCGTTGCCTTCGCGTCTTTGGATCTTAAAGTCCCTCATGTATCTGAGCTACGTGAAGTAATCACTGCGTTGCCTTTCTACAATAACTGTATTCTCATTGTGTTCAATTGCATTCTCATTTATTTCGCCCCCTCACTAGATGTCAATAGTACAGGGATTACAGGGATGTGCTTACCAACTGCTCCGCTGATGTTTCGAAGGAATCTTGTTTTTCCGCTGACAGATCGGAATGAAAGGTGGCCTATAGTACGAAATAAATATAGATTATCATACAAACTTTTAATTCATTAGTTTAGTTCGTCGTACGTGAAGATCGACGTTTGTCCTGGAGATGATCTTTAGACGTTCTATCCGTCTGCTTCAGACGATAATGTATATTTAGCCTCGTTCGGGAGAAACACCCGCTGGCCGGCTAAAGTTTCTTTTTGGTCTGATTCAAATGGTAAGATACCTTTTCTAGACTGCTTGGTCACTCGCGACAACAACAAACTAAAAACGACTATTTACAGAAAACCGACACATACCGACCGATTACTAGACCAGTCTTCGTACAACCCGACCTCTTCTCACAAGGCTACTACTATCCGGACTCTGACGAGACGAGCGCAACTAGTTTGCGACTCACCTGACAGCCTACAAGACGAGACTGATTATCTTAACAACGTTTTTAGTAAGAACAATTACAACACGGACTTTGTTAGACGGAACACTCACAGTAACACTGATTCCAACTCTCAGATCAACTCTGGCCCTGTTACGACAGCGACTATACCGTACATCAGAGGCACCTCTGAAACTATTGCACGTATATTACAACCTTACAATATACGTGTTGCGCACAAACCGATAACCACTTTACGGCGACTGCTTACTAATGTCAAGGACAAAGACAAACCGGAGGACAGACAGGGAGCAGTATACAAGATCAAATGCTGCGACTGCCAGGCTTCTTACATTGGTGAAACCGGCAGGAACCTAAGCACGCGACTGACCGAACACAAACGCGCGACGAGGAATGGTGACGTCAACAATCACATTCCTGAACACCATTTAAAGACGAAACATCAAATTGACTGGGACTCTGCGACATGTATAACGTATTCTACAGACTACTATCAACGTCTTACTTTAGAAAGCTGGTTTACTAACTTAGAACAAACGCCACTGAATCGTAGCCAACAATTACCAGCGCCGTACAAACGACTTATTGACAAGATCAAGCAAAACTAACTACGAGAGAACAACTGGAGAACTGACAATTTGACTAACAATAGACGACTGTTTAACTGTGACAATAGACGGATCGAAACGCACCAAGTACTGATTACGAGTCTTCATAGCCAATAACATCACGGCTTAACTGACAGACGACCAATAACATCGCGACATAATTGACCAATCAGATCAATAACCAGAGTATAATACCATCAACTGACGTGATACAACTCACTTTGACTCTGAAGATGACTACTGCACAGGTTGTCGAAACGTCAGTTAACTGTCAACAACAACAGTCCTATTCAGGACTACGTTCACCCGGACGATCAAACTCAACCTTTTGAAGTTTTATATATTTTGTAACAAGTTTTAATTGTGCACTATAACCTTAATACTAAAATTAAGAAGTTTTATTCATAAAGCAGAATGTTTTATATATTTAATGTAAAGGTTTACATATGGTAAGAAGTATTTTTGATACAAACGGCATTCCATAATATACAGATTTAACAAAAGCCAAAAGCGAAGCTTCAGTTTGTAGACTTAATAATAAACATCCATTCTATTCCATTCACCTTTTAAGGGGTGACCATGAGACATTTAAGAAAAAAAGTATCCGGCAAACTGACCTACAAAACATTTTCCCACGAAGCTAAACTCTGATATTTATAGCAAAAATAATAATGAATAAAGTTCGATAACAGTAGTAGCCTTGAACAAGAATTTTTGCCCGAACCTGCGTCACATAACTCCTCACCACACCTGTTTTCAAACTTATCACAATCAGCCCCTAAAATAAACAAAATTAAAAGGTGCCTTTAATCACGTTTAATTCACGCCCGCACATACTCTTCGGTGGAGGCCAATTTACAGGTTACCATTTTTAGGGTCGATTTTCCAGTATAAAGGAAAGACCTAAATGAAAAATTGGGCCGATTTTTGTGTTCGCCGTGTGCTTTAATATGTTTTCTTTGCAAAATCTGTTAATATCTCGACATCCGCACACTGACGCATGAACCAATAGTATTAATTACAACCAGTCACACTAACGAAATCGAAGCAGGTACGTGATAAACATCATTATGCGAATTAATTAATGTAAGTGTTAGTTCATGCTATACGCTCAGTGAAAAGGTGTCGACCGGAATTTTCTCCCGCATGACCAATGACCTAGCGAAAAAAAAGGAGGGAACAGCTTTGACGACGCAGACATGATGGTGAACCAAACAAGCACATTACAACCAGGCATAGCTATATTTCTCTCAGCTCTAAATTTTGTCTTTTCCATCTCCGCATTCGTGGGGAACACACTGATCCTGGTGGCTCTTTATAAAGTGCCTTCTATTCATCCACCGACAAAACTGCTATTTCGATGTCTTTCAGTCACTGATCTTTGCGTTGGCCTTTTTCTGCAACCATTGTTTGCCACCCGTATACTGAATAGTGCGACAAAGATAATTAGCCCTGGAAATTTGTTCTACTTCATCGAGGCAAATGCTTCTTTAAGTTTTATTTTGTGTGGAGTATCAGTCCTGACATCGACCGCTATAAATTTAGACAGACTTCTCGCCCTTATACTGGGCCTGCGATACAGAATCGTTGTAACGTTAAAACGAGTTGCTGTACTAGTTACTTGTTTCTGGTTGATTGGTCTTTTGTTCGGAATGATGGGCTCTTTCGTGAGCTTTCGAATTGCTTTAAATGGGGCTATAATCTGGGCAATATTATCGCTAGTAGCCTCAATCTTTTCCTACGTCAAGATATTTGTCAAACTTCGGCAACACCAAGGTAGAGTGCAAGACCGTCTTCAACAAGTGCAACAGAACGAAGGATTACCACCAATAAACATGCAACGATACAAGAGAACCGTTTCTAACATAGCTTGGGTTCAGATAACAATGGTTGCTTGCTATGTTCCATTCATAGTAGCGACAGTGTTAAACCGTGATACAAGAGACAATTATATCGCGTGGAATGTTTCAGTCACACTGTTATACCTAAATTCCTCTCTGAACCCATTAGTTTATTGCTGGAAGATGAAAGAAATCAAACAAGCAGTGAAGAACACGGTGACACAGTCGTGTTGCCTACAGTCGAACCTCGTTAATACGGACACAGAGGGGGCCACAGAAAGTGTCCGTATCTTTAACGGGGTGTCCGCAATAAGCGGGTTGAATTTAGAGAAAATGTAAGGGCTTTCTTTCCCCAGGGACAAAGCAAACTGTCCGTATTAATAAGGTGTCCCATAAATCTGGTTTGACTATCTCTACGTACTTAGGTGAACACTGCAGTGCACATGTCAGAAAACGTGCCGAGATCGTGCTTCCGAATTTAAACGGTCTCTGTATCGGCCCTTTTCAATGCAAGGTTTTGAGAATTCAAACTTAAATTTAATTAATGAAGTGCAAGTAAGCCTTCACCTTCCATTAGAGTAGAGAACGTTTGTGTGGCACTAAGTATTGCAAGATAGTGAAATGTGTTTTCACGCATTATTAGATGGAATAATTATTCTTTATCCAAAAGGACGAAGCTCGGACGATGTACGCTAGTTCTAGTTACTTATTTCGAGTTAATAAGATTTTACTTGATGAGAAGATAAGTCAAACGTATTCTTAGCTGCAGCATATGAGATCTTTTAAATTCAAAGAGTTTCTTGACAACATTACGCCGGCTGAAAACCAGTAATAAAAGGCCATGATTTAGCTGCAAATTCTTATAATCAACAAATCATCGTAGTTCACAAACCATGTCGCATCGACGCGTTTATAAGGTTCAAATTCATACGACACGTTTAATAAGAAACGTGCAGCTACAACAGAAACATTTTCGAGAAAGGAACAAAAAGGTTTACAAGGAACTTAAAGCGTTGGTCACCTGCTTATTGTTTGCATACTTCCATAGCCAACAGGAAGTCGTTTAGTAATCTCTGATATTGATTCGGGAGTCTTGACAATGTCTCTTCCCAGAACATTCTTGATTCTCGAGTTCAATATCACCTCGATAGGGGCGTAGCCAGCGGGATAGAGGGGTTTCTAATGTGGTATTTTTGACAAGATTGACAATCGAGCTTTAGAAGACATGGGCCGATAAGGCATTCTCGCCCGGAAAAGTTTAAGACTTTAGGTCTTCAATGACAATCGAGCTTTAGAAGACATGGGGTATAAGGCATTCTTGCCCGGAAAAGTTTAAGACTTTAGGTCCTCAGAAATTTTGTTTCGTGATTCTGAGCAGAAATTTCCAATAACAGTACCAAATGAAGCTAGTATTTTTTCGCTTTCAGTGAAGAGATAGTGTGATAGACTTAAAAATGTATATATCCATAATGGTTGAATACATTAAAACACACACTGTAGTCCTGTGGGCATGATTTGCCGTTTACTCAGTTAGGATATTAGCAAGACGGAGAAATCATGGATGCTTCCGTACAAAGGTGTCGATTGTTGGACTTAGGTCAATTTGCGTAAAACAATGGATGTTCATCGTAGCAAATGCAAAATCTAGGGAATAAAATCGCCAGTCCTAGCTGACAAATCAGTCTATTTTGTTTTTTGAAATGATAGTTTAATCATAGTATCTGTAAAACCATTGAGACCTGACCATCTTGAATATAAACAAAAACAGCATTTTGTGTCTGTTAATATTGGGACTTTCGCAACAGGAACAAGCTGACCCATCAACGCCAACGAAGTTAGTATTCGTTGCCATCAAATGTTGCTGTTTTCTGATTATACTGACACAGTCTTTTTCTTAAACTTGCCATAATTACTAAAGTAAGTTGATGCCACCTATTTAATAATCTGTTCTAAATCACATTTGATTTAACGTGCGTTCGCGTGTTTAGTATTGTTTCACTAAGTGCTCTAAAATGGTTGTTTACCTATCCACGGGTCTATAATGGCAGCTTCATTTTCTTTTGGCAAAAAATAACACATGAGCTGACATATGTGAGAATAATATCGCTTGTTCCTAGCTTGTATTGGTACACCTGTGAATTTTAACAGAATTACTAAACAAATCAACTGCGATGCATTTAGTGATACGTTATGTAGCTATTCTAGCTTACTAGTTTGTGGACGGAAACTTAATAAAGTTCTCAAGGTAATTTAACTCTTTTGAGTCTGTGGACGAAATCCAGTGGACATGAAGATCATTAAAATGAACACTCTTTGGCAGTAGATTTGAGTGGTACTACTTCTTTTTGCTGTATAACATAGCTCAAACTTTTTAGTCTTTGAAAGAAAACCTCTCTTGAGTCACGGTGGCCACTCCAATGAGACGTCCCTGGGAGTCCTTGCAAGTTGCTTTTTTATTTTATAATATTTTACAAACTGTATTTTATAAAAGTAAAAAAATAAGTGCAGTGACAAGAATAGCCTCTACACAGACGTTGTTTTATTCGGCGAGCGCGGAGCCCGAGCAAGAAAAAAAAAGACGTTGTTTTATTTTTCTTTTCTTTGTTTTCGAAATCGGTTTTTATCACGCGCGCTCGACGGACTTTGAGGAGAAAATAGAGGCTCTGTGAACAGGCTATGACAAAAAGAATTCTTTCTAGCCGAAGATATCCAACAGTCACCTTCTTTATCTCTAGTTTTATTTATATTTGACTTAGGACAACTTATTTTTACAGCTCAGTAAATAAATTAACTTCCATAATTTTAGCTTAATTCACCTAATCTCTGGAGAGCGAAAGATATTTTAAGAAATTAAAAGCATTTCCACTAAAATCATTTGCAGCAGCAACAGAGCTATTCTAATATTAGCAAAAGCTTTGTATCAGTCGTTCACCTCTTCACCCCTACCAAAGGATGGTCACTCTCAACACACAGTTTATCCGACCTTTTAGAAGAGAAAATCGTTAAAAAAAGTGATTATTCTAGCGCTCAATTTGTGTAACCACTTTACTTTAACGGACTAGCTTAGAACTGAAAAGGATATTTCGAACTATCCTAAGAACCGCCGTCCGGCGTTATTTGGGTAAAAAAAACCTGCGCAGCTTTGTTCCTGCTAAAGCCAACAATTTGGTGGCAAAATGAAAGATTCATTTCAAATGATTTTCTGTCTCATGCGAGTTTTAACAAAGGAACCTTGATCGATTGATGTTGACAGCTGTCCATCGTCAACAGAACCTACAGATCTCCTTCGTATGCTACCCATCGCGTAGCAACACTGTGTACCCAGCTGGCCATGCAAGGGATCCTGCCGCCAAGTGAGCTTTCATATTCTCCAAAAGCGAAAACATAAATCCAAGTGACTTGCACGAAAAATGGAGACTCCGCTAAAAGCCGCGCCTGTCACGTTATTGCGTCGAATGTCTGTCCATTAAATATTGGGGGCACATCCAGCAAGGTTCCGATTGTCAATTCGGCTGCCTTTTCCGCCAGCTTTGAATTGTCAGGATTTTCCTGTTGAAATACAAGATATCCTTTAGTGGTTATAACATGGGATTCAACCCCACCAAACACGAAAGCTAACTGTTGTAAACAAAGTCGTTCGCGTAGTTGACTTGTTTACGTCCTGGGGCGTAAAAGCCATGCACCAGAGACAAACATCTGCTCGCAGAGTAACGTCCAGAATAAGCCTTGAATTAACATAGAGCCCTTTTGAACTCTACGTAGCAGTGGGCACTGGGGATTGGCAAGTCACCGTTAGGTTTTGTTGGTTTTAGTTTAAATAAATGTAGTAACACTCTCTTAGGGCCTGTAATTCTGCAACAAATTTTCACACCAGTTAGAAACGACAACATAGAAAGTTGTTAGACTATGCAATTTTTTTAAATATTCCTGTGAAGTTCGCTACGAAGAGGTAAAATGAATAATGTACTGTACCTTTTGATTATTGAGGCCTAGGCTGACAAATACACCAAAACAAATAACACCCTGTTCATGAACACGTGACTTCATTTCCTCTATAGCAAGCTGTCGAGTGACCAAAAAATAAATGTTTCGTAAAACAAAGAGAAAAACTTGTTCAACTTTAGTTAACTAGAAAAAAGATGAGTTTATAAGTAAACAAACACAGACAAGATTGGAAAGCCGATACCACATGGCATTTTCCGAACCCCAAGGCAATGCCTATGAATTGTAGCTTGACAGAGATTCGTACCGGCGAGCAAATCATAAACGAGGATCCATATAGTTTGGGATGCATGCATACTATTGATGCTGCACTAAGCTACACAATGGTAAAGTAGGCGACTCTGTGAATTGGCTTGAGTAAAGTAATATTAACAAATAATAAGGAATCTCCGCCGGCCTTGATTAGCTTTTGCCTTTTCTGGGTGGAACTGTAATTTGAAAATGCGTGAGAATAAATAAATAAATATATATATAAATAAATAATACCCTAGTTTTCTCGACTTATAACAGACAACTTTTGTTATCAGTTAAACTAAATGCACGTCTCGTCCAGGTAAGCAAATTTTAACTGATTACATATCGAGGGTGACCATCACTACATAGGGCCCGGGATTCTAATGACACCTTAACCAACCTTGAATTCAGTGAAGTTCTTTCTGCAGTTTGAAAATCTAACAATTATCAACCTAAGATCTTTCGCATGACAACGATTGCATTTTCGTGAGATTTCTTGTGTAAACTGCATCACAAATGTTGGTACGCAAACCTGAAGCAAAGAAAAGCATCATAGTTCATGGTTAGTAAAAGACAGCCACTAAGGTTAGGCCTTTCATAGAGAAGAGTAGATGTGTCTGCTTTACAATTATTTTGCGTTTTCTGCTTCACAATTATTTTGCGTTTTTCCCTCAATAATATGTCCTCTCAACACATGGCTCCTCCCAACACATGTTGTGCAAGTGGTAAATGATTAAATCAAGCCGAAACCAATTATAAAACTTCACACATTTTCGAACGGTTATGGAGCTTAAGCAATGACGACACCAACCGCAACGACACCGGCAATAACGTAATAGGTTTAAATTGGCAAAACAACAACTCTGCACGTGCATCACGCTTTTTTGTACATTTCTCTGCCATCGTTGCACGACTACAACGTGAAACTGCCTGTAGTAATTTCACGTTTTGTCGAGGACGGGAACAGGAGACAACAACTTTGCTGTTCTTTTCCTGAACTTTGATGCAGTCCTTTAGATATATAGGATTAAATTCAAAAAAAAAAATTGCTAACATTTGACGAATTAAACGAGATGGAATGAGCGCGATTAAGTTTGAGGCAGCGCGAATTCACTTCTTAAGTCAGGTTTTCCTAGCCGTCGCCGTCGTTGTTTCTTTGTCCGTCCGCTAACAGTGCTGTACACCTTACAATGGCTCACGGAGGCAACCAGCCTACAAGGGTGTCGACTCACAGAAGAGCCTTTGCTGGAGGGGTACCTCGGATTAGAGTGGTGTCTATATATCTTACAGTGTATCCACATTAAGGGGCTGTCTGCTCGACCTTGATGGGTGTCCACTTAACAAGGCTACCTTACAGTAGTGTCCAATACATGGTGTTCCTGTCTTAAAGCAAAGTTCCCATACAGTAGAAGTGAGGGATTTCCGCCTAGTATTAGCGTCCACCCGACAGTAGCGTTTTCCGCCTACAGATGCGCCCATGCTAAAAAACATTCTCCCGTTAACAGGGTCACTATATTTAAAAAAAAAATGGCAGATGAGACTGAATGGCAATATGAACACTAAAAACAGATGAGAAACGTATCATAAGGTACCTTACCGTGGAGGACGTTTTATCATCGAGAGCAAAAACAACAGATACACTGTCGTGGCTAGCCTCGGATATCTTCCAAGACAATTCAAGAATCATTATTATCTTTCCAGTGCCACTAATTCCACGTTCCTATGAATTCTTGTTTTCATTTTTTTCCTGTCTTTCTTTGTTTTGCCTTGAGATCAGAGCGACGATTGACATACTGTCACAAGTATGTTTTGCATAGCAATAGGTACTTTAAGATCCAACGACGCGGACGGAAACGAGAACGTAATAAAACAATAGGTTATATAAGCAAAACAACAACTTTGCACGTGCATCACACTTATTGGTACATTTCTTTGCCGTTTTTGCCCGACTACGACGTGAAATTGCCTAATTTCGCGTTTTATGGATTATGTCAACAAGCAACGACCAAATTTTATTTCTCTTTCTGAACTTGGAAATGGTCCATTGGAATTCAACTCCAGGAGGATCCGCCTACATTTGACAAAGTATTGGGTAGGAATAATTGCGATTAAGACTGAAAGAACGCAAATTCACTTTTTAGGCGACGTTCTCGTTGCCTTCGCGTCTTTGGATCTTAAAGTCCCTCATGTATATGAGCTACGTGAAGTAATCACTGCGTTGCCTTTCTACAATATAACTGTATTGTCATTGTATTCAATTGTATTCTCATTTATTTAGCCCCCTCACTAGATGTCAATAGTACAGGGATTACAGGGATGTGCTTACCAACTGCTCCGCTGATGTTTCGAAGGAATCTTGTTTTTCCGCTGACAGATCGGAATGAAAGGTCGCCTAACGTGCGAAATAAATATACATCATCATACAAATGATTAATTTGTTAGTTTAGTTCGTCACATGTGAAGATCGACGTTTGTCCCGGAGACGATCTTCAGACGTTCTATCCGTCTCGGCTGCTTCAGACGATAAGGAAAATTTAGCCTCGTTCGGGAGAAACACCCGCTGGCCGGCTAAAATTTCTTGTAGGTCTGATTCAGTTGATTGGTTCGACGCGTCCTAAGTTCGACGTCTAAACTATCAGACGATCTTAACCTAACTGATGAAAGTCGACCAAGAGCCATCGTCTTCCAATAAACACTAGGGCGCACGCTTTAATATAACTTACCGCAACATTTCTTTTCTGAAGCAGTTCTTTTAGTTGCTCACAAAAGTGTGATAGGCCTTGTCCAATAACCAAGGCTCTATGGATTTTTTTTCTCTGATTACAAGAATAACAGTCAAAGTTAATCGATGACGACAGTGTTTATTTCCTATACTTCAATCTATAAACAGGTTCTATTGTTACACTGAATACATAAAATCCATATAATAATATACAGATTTAACAAAGCCAAAAGCGAAGCTTCAGTTTGTAGACTTAATAATAAACATCCATTCTATTCCATTCACCTTTTAAGGGGTGACCATGGGAGATTTAAGAAAAAAAGTGTCCGGCAAACTGACCTACAAAACATTTTCCCACGAAGCTAAACTCTTATATTTATGGCAAAAATAATAATGAATAAAGTTCGATAACAGTAGTAGCCTTAAAGAAGAATTTTTGCCCGAACCCGCGTCACATAACTCCTCAGCACACCTGTTTTCGAACTTATCACAATCAGCCCCTAAAATAAACAAAATTAAAAGGTGCCTTTAATTCACGCCCGCACATACTCTTCGGTGGAGGCCAATTTACAGGTTACCATTTTTAGGGTCGATTTTCCAGTCTAAAGAAAAGACCTAAATGAAAAGTTGGGCCGATTTTTGTGTACGTTGTGTGCTTTTATATGTTTTCTTTGCAAAATCTCTTAATATCTCGACATGCGCACACTGACGCAGGAACCAATATTGTTAATTCCAACCAGACACACTAACGAAATGGAAGCAGGTACTTGATAATCATAATTATGCGAATTAATTAATGTAAGTGTTAGTTCATGCTATACGCTCAGTGAAAAGGTGTCAACCGGAATTTTCTCACCGCATGACCGATGACATAGCGAAAAAAAAAAAGGAACAGCTTTGACGGCGCATAAATGATGGTGAACCAGACAAGCTCATTAACACCAGGCATACCTATATTTCTTTCAGTTCTAAATTTTGTTCTTTCCATCACCGCATTCGTGGGGAACACACTGATCCTGGTGGCTCTTTATAAAGTGTCTTCTATTCATCCACCGACAAAACTGCTATTTCGATGTCTTTCAGTCACTGATCTTTGCGTTGGCCTTTTTCTGCAACCATTGTTTGTTATCCGTATACTAAATAGTGCGACAAAGATAATTAGCCCTGGGAATTTTTTCTACATCATCGAAGCAAATTCATCTTCAAGTTTTATTTTGTGTGCAGTATCAGTCCTGACATCGAGCGCTATAAGTTTAGACAGACTTCTCGCCCTTACGCTGGGCCTGCGATACAGAATCGTTGTAACGTTGAAGCGAGTTGCTGTACTAGTTACTTGTTTCTGGTTGATTGGTATTTTGTTGGGAATGATGCGCTCTTTCGTGAGCTTACGAATTGCTTTAAATGGGGCTATAATCTGGGCAATATCATCGTTAGTAGCCTCAACCTTTTCCTACGTAAAGATATTTCTCAAACTTCGGCAACACCAAGGTAGAGTGCAAGACCGTCGTAAACAAGAGCAACAGAACGAAGGATTACCGCGGCCATTAAACATGCAACGATACAGGAGAACCGTTTCCAGCATAGCCTGGATTCAGATGACAATGGTTGCTTGCTATGTTCCATTTATAGTAGCGACAGTGTTAAACCGTTATAGAAGAGACAGTGATATCGCGTGGAATGTTTCAGTCACAATGTTATACCTAAATTCCTCTCTGAACCCATTAGTTTTTTGCTGGAAGATGAAAGAAATCAAACGGGCAGTGAAGAACACGGCGACAGAGTCGTGTTGCCTACAGTCGAACCCCGATAATGCGGACACTGAGGGGACCACGGAAAGTGCCCGTATTAACGGGGTGTCTGCAATAAGCGGGTTGAATTCAGAGAAAATGTACGGCTTACTGTCCCTAGGGACAAAGCAAACTGTCCGTAATAACGAGGTGTCCGTATTAAGTGGGTGTCCATAAAGCGACGTTTGACTGTCTCTACGTACTTAGGTGGACACATGTCAGAAAACGTCTCAGGATCGTGCTTCCGAATATAAACCGTCTCTATGTCGACCCTTAACAATGGAAGTTTCTGAGAATTCGAAATTAAGTTTACTTCAGGGGCACCCAACGAGAATATAGTTCAAAACCACTTTAACATAGCATTTTTAAACGTATTTTAGTATTTAAACGATAGATATAGGCATATTTCTATCCCCTAAAAATTTTTCATCTGTTCTGATTTACTAGCTGAAAGTCTAGTGATCCGAAAACTGTAGGATCAAAACTTATCTTTTCGAAAATTTCACCCAGAGAAAGGGCTCCCGAAAATTCTAGGTGACCTTTTCAGGATAAAAATCCGTTAAAATTGGGCAATTATATCATTTTTTAGATGTTCGAAAATCCTAGGAGAGGCAGGCAAGCACGAAATTTTACAACAAATGTTCCGAAAATTCTAGATCTCAAATCGTCTTCCGAACGGACATTTTCCGAAAATTGAAGTTGGGTGCCCCTGTTAATTATTGAAGAGAACCATAGCCTCCGCCTTCAATTTAGAGTAGAGAAACTTTCTATGGTAATAAGTATTCCAAGATAGTGATATGTGTTTTCACGCATTATTAGATGGAATAATTATTCTTTATCCAAAAGGACGAAGCTCGGACGACGTACGTTAGTTCTAGTTACTTATTTCAAGTCAATAAGAGTTTTTTTTGATGAGAGGATAAGTTAAACGCTTTCTTAGCTGCAGCATATGAGTTCTTTTAAATTCAAAGAGTTTGTTGACAACATTACGCCGGCTGAAAACCAGTAATAAATGGCCATGATTTAGCTGCAAATTTTTATAACCAACAAATTATCGTAGTTCACAAACCATGTCGCATCGACGCGTTTACAAGGTTCAAATTCATGCGACACGTTTAATAAGAAACGTGCAGCTACAACAGAAACATTTTCGAGAAAGAAACAAAAAGGTTCACAAGGAACTTAAAGCGTTGGTCACCTGCTTATTGTTGGCATGCTTCCATCGGCAACAGGAAGTCGTTTAGTAGTCTCTGATATTGATTCGAAAGTCTTGACAACGTCTCTCCCCAGAATATTCTTGATTCTCGAGTTCAATATCACCTCGACAGGGGCGTAGCCAACATTATGGCGTAGAGGGGTTTCTAATGTGGTATTTTTGTCTAGATTGACAATCGAGCTTTAGAAGACATGGGGTCTAAGGCATTTTCGCGCGAAAAAGTTTAAGACTTTAGGTCCTCAGAAATTTCGTTTTGTGATTCTGAGCACAAATTTCCAATAACAGTGCCAAATGAAGCTAGTATTTTTTCGCTTTCAGTGTTAAGATAGTGTGATAGACTTTAAAATGTATATATTCATAATGGTTGAATACATTAAAACACACACTGTAGTCCTGTGAGCATGATTTGCCATTTACTCAGTTAGGATATTAGCAAGAAGGAGACATCATGGATGCTTCCGTACAAAGGTGTCGATTGTTGGACTTAGGTCAATTTGCGTAAACAATGGATGTTCATCGTAGCAAATGCAAAATCTAGGGAATAAAATCGCCAGTCCTAGCTGACAAATCAGTCTATTTTGTTTTTTGAAATGATAGTTTAATCATAGTATCTGTAAAACCATTGAGACCTGACCATCTTGAATATAAACAAAAACAGCATTTTGTGTCTGTTAATATCGGGACTTTCGCAACAGGACCAAGCTGACCCATCAACGCCAACGAAGTTAGTATTCGTTGCCATCAAATATTGCTGTTTTCTGATTATACTGACACGGTCTTTTTTCTTAAACTTGCCATAATTACTCAAGTAAGTTGATACCACCTATTTAATCATCTGTTCTAAATCACATTTGATTTAACGTGCGTTCGTGTGTTAAGTACTGTTTCACTAAGTGCTCTAAAACGGTTGTTTACCTTTCTACGGGTCTATAATGGCAGCTTCATTTTGTTTTGGCAGAAAATAACATATGAGCTAACATATGTGAGAAGAATATCACTTGTTCCTAGCTTGTTTTGGTACACCTGTGTATTTCAACAGAATTACTAAACAAATCAACTGCGATGCGTTTAGTGATGTGTTATGCAGCTATTCTAGCTTACGAGTTTGTGGACGGAAACTTAATAAAGTTCTCAAGGTAATTTAACTCTTTTGAGTCTGTGGACGAAATCCAATGGACATGATGATCATTAAAATGAACACTCTTTGGCAGTAGATTTGAATGGTACTACTTCTTTTTGCTGTATAACATAGTTCAAACTTTTTAGTCTTTGAAAGAAAACCTCTCTTGAGTCACGGTGGCCAATCCAATGAGACGTCCCTGGGAGTCCTTACAAGTTGCTTTTTTATTTTATAATATTTTACAAACTGTATTTTATAAAAGTAAAAAAATAAGTGCAGTGACAAGAATAGCCTCTACACAGACGTTGTTTTATTCGGCGAGCACGGAGCCCGAGCAAGAAAAAAATAGACGTTGTTCTATTTTTCTTTTCTTCGTTTTCGAAATCGGTTTTTATCAGGCGCGCTCGACGGACTTTGAGGAGAAAATAGAGGCTCTGTGAACAGGCTATGACAAGAAGAATTCTTTCTAGCCGAAGATATCCAACAGTCACCTTCATCTCTAGTTTTATTTACATTTGACTTGGGACAACTTATTTTTACAGCTCAGTAAATAAATTAACTTCCATAATTTTAGCTTAATTCACCTAATCTCTGGAGAGCGAAAGATATTTTTAAGAAATTAAAAGCATTTCCACTAAAATCATTTGCAGCAGCAACAGAGCTATTCTAATATTAGCAAAAGCTTTGTATCAGTCGTTCACCTCTTCACCCCTACCAAAGGATGGATACTCTCAACACACAGTTTATCCGACCTTTTAGAAGAGAAAATCGTTAAAAAAAGTGATTATTCTAGCGCTCAATTTGTGTAACCACTTTACTTTAACGGACTAGCTTAGAACTGAAAAGGATATTTCGAACTATCCTAAGAACCGCCGTCCGGCGTTATTTGGGTCGCCACCGACGGTAACAAAAACCTGCGCAGCTTTGTTCCTGCTAAAGCCAACAATTTGGTGGCAAAATGAAAGATTCATTTCAAATGATTTTCTGTCTCATGCGAGTTTTAACAAAGGAACCTTGATCGATTGATGTTGACAGCTGTCCATCGTCAACAGAACCTACGGATCTCCTTCGTATGCTACCCATCGCGTAGCAACACTGTGTACCCAGCTGGCCATGCAAGGGATCCTGCCGCCAAGTGAGCTTTCATATTCTGCAAAAGCGAAAACATAAATCCAAGTGACTTGCACGAAAAATGGAGACTCCGCTAAAAGCCGCGCCTGTCACGTTATTGCGTCGAATGTCTGTCCATTAAATATTGGGGGCACATCCAGCAAGGTTCCGATTGTCAATTCGGCTGCCTTTTCCGCCAGCTTTGAATTGTCAGGATTTTCCTGTTGAAATACAAGATATCCTTTAGTGGTTATAACATGGGATTCAACCCCACCAAACACGAAAGCTACCTTTTGTAAACGAAGTCGTTCGCATAGTTGGCTTGTTTACGCCCTGGGGCGTAAAAGCCATGCACCACGGACAAACCTCTGCTCGCAGAGTAACGTCCAGAATAAGCCTTGAATTAACATAGAGCCCTTTTGAACTCTACGTAGCAATGGGCACTGGGGATTGGCAAGTCACCGTTAGGTTTTGTTGGTTTTAGTTTGAATAAAAGTAGTAACACTCTCTTAAGGCCTGTAATTTGACTACAAATTTTCACACCAGTTAAAAACGACAACATAGAACGTTGTTAGACTATGTAATTTTTTTAAATATTCCTGTGACGTTCGCTACAAAGAGGTAAAATGAATAATGTACTGTACCCTGTGATTATTGAGGCCTGGGCTGACAAATACACCAAAACAAATAGCACCCTGTTCATGAACACGTGACTTCATTTCCTCTATAGCAAGCTGTCGAGTGGCAAAAAATAAATGTTTCGTAAAACAAAGTGAAAAACTTGTTCAACTTTAGTTAACTGGAAAAAAGATGATCGAGTTTATAAGTAAACAAACACACACAAGATTGGAAAGCCGATACCACCCAGCATTTTCCGAACCCCAAGGCAATGCCTATGAATTGCAGCTTTGCAGAATCGTTGAGGCGACCACAGCATAAACGAGGATCCATATAGTTTGGGATGCATGCATACTATTGATGCTGCACTAAGCTACACAATGGTAAAGTAGGCGACTCTGTGAATTGGCTAGAAATAATAAGGAATCTCCACCGGCCTTGATTAGCTTTTGCCTTTTGTGGGTGGAACTGTAATTTGAAAATGCGTGAGAATATATAAATAAATATATAAATAAATAAATGATACCCTAGTTTTCTCGACTTATAACAGACAACTTTTGTTATCAGTTAAACTAAAAACACGTCTCGTCCAGGTAAGCAAATTTTAACTGATTACATATCGAGGGTGACCATCACTACATAGGGCCCGGGATTCTAATGACACCTTAACCAACCTTGAATTCAGTGAAGTTCTTTCTGCAGTTTGAAAATCTAACAATTATCAACCTAAGATCTTTCGCATGACAACGATTGCATTTTCGTGAGATTTCTTGTGTAAACTGCATCACAAATGTTGGTACGCAAACCTGAAGCAAAGAAAAGCATCATAGTTCATGGTTAGTAAAAGACAGCCACTAAGTTAGGCCTTTCATAGAGAAGAGTAGATGTGTCTGCTTTACAATTATTTTGCGTTTTCTGCTTCACAATTATTTTGCGTTTTTCCCTCAATAATATGTCCTCTCAACACATGGCTCCTCCCAACACATGTTGTGCAAGTGGTAAATGATTAAATCAAGCCGAAACCAATTATAAAACTTCACACATTTTCGAACGGTTATGGAGCTTAAGCAATGACGACACCAACCGCAACGACACCGGCAATAACGTAATAGGTTTAAATTGGCAAAACAACAACTCTGCACGTGGATCACGCTTTTTTGTACATTTCTCTGCCATCGTTGCACGACTACAACGTGAAACTGCCTGTAGTAATTTCACGTTTTGTCGAGGACGGGAACAGGAGACAACAACTTTGCTCTTCTTTTCCTGAACTTTGATGCAGTCCTTTAGATATATAGGATTAAATTCAAAAAAAAAAAATTGCTAACATTTGACGAATTAAACGAGATGGAATGAGCGCGATTAAGTTTGAGGCAGCGCGAATTCACTTCTTAAGTCAGGTTTTCCTAGCCGTCGCCGTCGTTGTTTCTTTGTGCGTCCGCTTACAGGGCTGTACACCTTACAATGGCTCACGGAGGCAACCAGCCTACAAGGGTGTCGACTCACAGAAGAGCCTTTGCTGGAGGGGTACCTCGGATTAGAGTGGTGTCTATATATCTTACAGTGTATCCACATTAAGGGGCTGTCTGCTCGACCTTGATGGGTGTCCACTTAACAAGGCTACCTTACAGTAGTGTCCAATACATGGCGTTCCTGTCTTAAAGCAAAGTTCCCATACAGTCATTGCCAGAAATCGTGGACATTTCGCGCCCGTGATTAATTGTCAGCGGAATCTCATTTCCAAATGGCGGACAAAAACGATCGTAGTCAGGGAAAGCGTATCCCCTGCGATTTTTTAAAATAATTTGAGCTCTGTGGATCCGTTTTACGAGGAAAAAAGCTGGAATAAAACACCTAGCAAGAAAATGTTAGGTTTATACTCGGCCGAGCGGCTGATAGCAACAAAACAGTACGCGGATGTACCTTTCGTGACATTTTCGTGACATTTTCGTGACAATTTTGTTTTAAAACCAAGCCTGGTAGGCTAATCGAGGATTTTTGAATGCCTGGAACCTAGTTTATATCCCGTGAAGCATCTCTGGAGTTTTAGCAACAAACAAAATGGCGATTCGGTGAGGTTTGGAGTTGTGAAGCTTTGTCCGACCGAAATGTGTCATTCGCAACTATGGCGTCCATTACTGGACTACAGATGGAAAACTGAGGGAAATAACGCGCCTTTTGGAAGTATTTTCCAGTGCAAAAATCGTCCTTTTAACGACTGTTTTGGAAGCATCTTCCATCGCAGAAGTAATATCGAGTCGTGCAAATTTACTTCAGTGAAGGGTTTATCCTCTAATCGACGAGTATTTCGCATGACTTCGGCAAGATTTTAAGGCAATGTATGGAGAAATGGAGCGTACAACGAGAGATAAAAGTGGCCACTTCGGGAAGTAGGTAAACCTACTTCTAATTAGCTATTTTTAACCCAGATGCAAAGGTTACACAGCACTTAACATGTTTCGAGTCGTGCACCGAACACCCGTGAGCTCATAATCGATATATTTGAAAAAGTTTCCTTATCTCCATACATTTTCTTATGCGAATTCGCAGCCATTGTGGCCTTAGTGCGCACGCGCAACCGCCATCTTGTCCCTAATTTCTGGCAATGAGAAGTGAGGGATTTCCGCCTAGTATTAGCGTCCACCCGACAGTAGCGTTTTCCGCCTACAGATGCGCCCATGCTAAAAAACATTCTCCCGTTAACAGGGTCACTATATTTTAAAAAAAAATGGCAGATGAGACTGAATGGCAATATGAACACTAACAACAGATGAGAAACGTATCATAAGGTACCTTACCGTGGAGGACGTTTTATCATCGAGAGCAAAAACAACAGATACACTGTCGTGGCTAGCCTCGGATATCTGCCAAGACAATTCAAGAATCATTATTATCTTTCCAGTGCCACTAATTCCACGTTCCTATGAATTCTTGTTTTCATTTTTTTCCCGTCTTTCTTTGTTTTGCCTTGAGGTCAGAGCGACGATTGACATACTGTCACAAGTATGTTTTGCGTAACAATAGGTACTTTAAGATCCAACGACGCGGACGGAAACGAGAACGTAATAAAACAATAGGTTATATAAGCAAAACAACAACTTTGCACGTGCATCACACTTATTGGTACATTTCTTTGCCGTTTTTGCCCGACTACGACGTGAAATTGCCTAATTTCGCGTTTTATGGATTATGTCAACAAGCAACGACCAAATTTTATTTCTCTTTCTGAACTTGGAAATGGTCCATTGGAATTCATCTCCAGGAGGATTCGCCTACATTTGACAAAGTAATTGGGTAGGAATAATTGCTGAAAGACTGAAAGAACGCAAATTCACTTTTTAGGCGACGTTCTCGTTGCCTTCGCGTCTTTGGATCTTAAAGTCCCTCATGTATATGAGCTACGTGAAGTAATCGCTGCGTTGCCTTTCTACAATATAACTGTATTGTCATTGTATTCAATTGTATTCTCATTTATTTAGCCCCCTCACTAGATGTCAATAGTACAGGGATTACAGGGATGTGCTTACCAACTGCTCCGCTGATGTTTCGAAGGAATCTTGTTTTTCCGCTGACAGATCGGAATGAAAGGTCGCCTAACGTGCGAAATAAATATACATCATCATACAAATGATTAATTTGGTAGTTTAGTTCGTCACATGTGAAGATCGACGTTTGTCCCGGAGACGATCTTCAGACGTTCTATCCGTCTCGGCTGCTTCAGACGATAAGGAAAATTTAGCCTCGTTCGGGAGAAACACCCGCTGGCCGGCTAAAATTTCTTGTAGGTCTGATTCAGTTGACTGGTTCGACGCGTCCTAAGTTCGACGTTTAAACTATCAGACGATCTTAACCTAACTGATGAAAGTCGACCAAGAGCCATCGTCTTCTAATAAATACTAGGGCGCACGCTTTAATATAACTTACTGCAACATTTCTTTTCTGAAGCAGTTCTTTTAGTTGCTCACAAAAGTGTGATAGGCCTTGTCCAATAACCAAGGCTCTATGGATTTTTTTTCTCTGATTACAAGAATAACAGTCAAAGTTAATCGATGACGACAGTGCTTATTTCGTATACTTCAATCTGTAAACAGGTTCTATTGTAACACTGAATACATTAAATCCATATAATAATATACAGATTTAACAAAGCCAAAAGCGAAGCTTCAGTTTGTAGACTTAATAATAAACATCCATTCTATTCCATTCACCTTTTAAGGGGTGACCATGGGAGATTTAAGAAAAAAAGTATCCGGCAAACTGACCTACAAAACATTTTCCCACGAAGCTAAACTCTTATATTTATATCAAAAATAATAATGAATAAAGTTCGATAACAGTAGTAGCCTTAAAGAAGAATTTTTGCCCGAACCTGCGTCACATAACTCCTCAGCACACCTGTTTTCGAACTTATCACAATCAGCCCCTAAAATAAACAAAATTAAAAGGTGCCTTTAATCACGTTTTATTCACGCCCGCACATACTCTTCGGTGGAGGCCAATTTACAGGTTACCATTTTTAGGGTCGATTTTCCAGTCTAAAGAAAAGACCTAAATGAAAAGTTGGGCCGATTTTTGTGTACGTTGTGTGCTTTTATATGTTTTCTTTGCAAAATCTCTTAATATCTCGACATGCGCACACTGACGCAGGAACCAATATTGTTAATTCCAACCAGACACACTAACGAAATGGAAGCAGGTACGTGATAATCATAATTATGCGAATTAATTAATGTAAGTGTTAGTTCATGCTATAAGCTCAGTGAAAAGGTGTCAACCGGAATTTTCTCACCGCATGACCGATGACCTAGCGAAAAAAAAAAAGGAACAGCTTTGACCACGCATAAATGATGGTGAACCAGACAAGCTCATTAACACCAGGCATACCTATATTTCTTTCAGTTCTAAAGTTTGTTCTTTCCATCACCGCATTCGTGGGGAACACACTGATCCTGGTGGCTCTTTATAAAGTGCCCTCTATTCATCCACCGACAAAACTGCTATTTCGATGTCTTTCAGTCACTGATCTTTGCGTTGGCCTTTTTCTGCAACCATTGTTTGTTATCCGTATACTAAATAGTGCGACAAAGATAATTAGCCCTGGGAATTTTTTCTACATCATCGAAGCAAATTCATCTTCAAGTTTTATTTTGTGTGCAGTATCAGTCCTGACATCGACCGCTATAAGTTTAGACAGACTTCTCGCCCTTACGCTAGGCCTGCGATACAGAATCGTTGTAACGTTGAAGCGAGTTGCTGTACTAGTTACTTGTTTCTGGTTGATTGGTATTTTGTTGGGAGTGATGCGCTCTTTCGTGAGCTTACGAATTGCTTTAAATGGGGCTATAATCTGGGCAATATCATCGTTAGTAGCCTCAACCTTTTCCTACGTAAAGATATTTCTCAAACTTCGGCAACACCAAGGTAGAGTGCAAGACCGTCGTAAACAAGAGCAACAGAACGAAGGATTACCGCGGCCATTAAACATGCAACGATACAGGAGAACCGTTTCCAGCATAGCCTGGATTCAGATGACAATGGTTGCTTGCTATGTTCCATTTATAGTAGCGACAGTGTTAAACCGTTATAGAAGAGACAGTGATATCGCGTGGAATGTTTCAGTCACAATGTTATACCTAAATTCCTCTCTGAACCCATTAGTTTTTGCTGGAAGATGAAAGAAATCAAACGGGCAGTGAAGAACACGGCGACAGAGTCGTGTTGCCTACAGTCGAACCCCGATAATGCGGACACTGAGGGGACCACGGAAAGTGTCCGTATTAACGGGGTGTCTGCAATAAGCGGGTTGAATTCAGAGAAAATGTACGGCTTACTGTCCCTAGCGACAAAGCAAACTGTCCGTAATAACGAAGTGTCTGTATTAAGTGGGTGTCCATAAAGCGACGTTTGACTGTCTCTACGTACTTAGGTGGACACATGTCAGAAAACGTCTCAGGATCGTGCTTCCGAATATAAACCGTCTCTATGTCGACCCTTAACAATGGAAGTTTCTGAGAATTCGAAATTAAGTTTACTTCAGGGGCACCCAACGAGAATATAGTTCAAAACCACTTTAACATAGCATTTTTAAACGTATTTTAGTATTTAAACGGTAGATATAGGCATATTTCTATCCCCAAAAAATTTTTCATCTGTTCTGATTTACTAGCTGAAAGTCTAGTGATCCGAAAACTGTAGGATCAAAACTTACCTTTTCGAAAATTTCACCCAGAGAAAGGGCTCCTGAAAATTCTAGGTGACCTTTTCAGGATAAAAATCCGTTAAAATGGGCAATTATATCATTTTTTTAGATGTTCGAAAATCCTAGGAGAGGCAGGCAAGCAAGAAATTTTACAACAAATGTTCCGAAAATTCTAGATCTCAAATCGTCTTCCGAACGGACATTTTCCGAAAATTGAAGTTGGGTGCCCCTGTTAATTATTGAAGAGAACGATACCCTCCACCTTCAATTTAGAGTAGAGAAAGTTTCTATGGTAATAAGTATTGCAAGATAGTGATATGTGTTTTCACGCATTATTAGATGGAATAATTATTCTTTATCCAAAAGGACGAAGCTAGGACGACGTACGTTAGTTCTAGTTACTTATTTCAAGTTAACAAGATTTTTTTTTGATAAGAGGATAAGTTAAACGTATTCTTAGCTGCAGCATATGAGTTCTTTTAAATTCAAAGAGTTTGTTGACAACATTACGCCGGCTGAAAACCAGTAATAAATGGCCATGATTTAGCTGCAAATTTTTATAATCAACAAATTATCGTAGTTCACAAACCATGTCGCATCGACGCGTTTACAAGGTTCAAATTCATGCGACACGTTTAATAAGAAACGTCCAGCTACAACAGAAACATTTTCGAGAAAGAAAGAAAAAGGTTTACAAGGAACTTAAAGCGTTGGTCACCTGCTTATTGTTGGCATACTTCCATAGCCAACAGGAAGTCGTTTAGTAATCTCTGATATTGATTCGGGAGTCTTGACAACGTCTCTTCCCAGAACATTCTTAATTCTCGAGTTCAATATCACCTCGACAGGGGCGTAGCCAACATTATTGCATAGAGGGGTTTCTAATGTGGTATTTTTGTCTAGATTGACAATCGAGCTTTAGAAGGCATGGGGTATAAGGCATTCTCCCCCGGAAAAGGTTAATACTTTAGGTCCTCAGAAATTTCGTTTTGTGATTCTGAGCACAAATTTCCAATAACAGTGCCAAATGAAGCTAGTATTTTTTCGCTTTCAGTGTTAAGATAGTGTGATAGACCTAAAAATGTATATATCCATAATGGTTGAATACATTAAAACACACACTGTAGCCCTGTGGGCATGATTTGCAGTTTACTCAGTTATTAGCAAGAAGGAGACATCATGGATGCTTCAGTACAAAGGTGTCGATTGTTGGAGTTAGGTCAATTTGCGTAAAACAATGGATGTTCATCATAGCAAATGCAAAATCTAGGGAATAAAATCGCCAGTCCTTGCTGACAAATCAGCCTATTTTGTTTTTTGAAATGATAGTTTAATCATGGCATAGTATAAAAGCTGGACCGGACTCTGGACCAGTCCCGGTTTTATACTATGCCTTTAATCATAGTATCTGTGAAACCATTGAGACCTGACCATCTTGAATATAAACAAAAACAGCATTTTGTGTCTGTTAATATCGGGACTTTCGCAACAGGAACAAGCTGACCCATCAACGCCCACGAAGTTAGTATTCGTTGCCATCAAATATTGCTGTTTTCTGATTATACTGGCACAGTCTTTTTTCTTAAACTTGCCATAATTGCTCAAGTAAGTTAATACCACCTATTTAATCATCTGTTCTAAATCACATTTGATTTAACATGCGTTTGTGTGTTTAGTATTGTTTCACTAAGTGCTCTAAAATGGTTGTTTACCTCTCTACGGGTCTATAATGCCAGCTTCATTTTCTTTTGGCAGAAAATAACATATGAGCTGACATATGTGAGAAGAATATCACTTGTTCCTAGCTCGTATTGGTACACCTGTGTATTTCAACAGAACTACTAAACAAATCAACAGCGATGTGTTTAGTGATACGTTATGTAGCAGTTCTTGACTTGCTTACGAGTTTGTGGAAGGAAACTTAAAAGAGTTCTCAAGGTAGTTTAACACTTTTGAGTCTGTGGACGAAATCCAATAGTCATGATGACCATTCAAATGTACACTCTTTGGCAGTAGTTTTGAGTGGTACAATTCTTTATGCTGTATAACATAGTTCAAAGAAGAAACCTCTCCTGAGTCACGGTGGCCACTCCAGTGAGACGTCCCTGGGAGTCCTTGCAAGTTGCTTTTTTATTTTTATAATATAATATTTTACAAACTGAATTTTATAAAAGTAAAAAAAATAAGAGCAGTGACAGGAATAGCCTGTACACAGACGTTGTTTTATTCGGCGAGTGCGGAGCCCGAGAAAGAAAAAAAGTAGACGTTGCTTTATTTTTCTTTTCTTTGTTTTCGAAATCGGTTTTTATCACGCGCGCTCGACGGACTCTGAGGAGAAAATGGAGACTCTGTGAACAGGCTATGGCAAGACTGAGAATTTCTTTCTTGCTGAAGATATCCAACAGTCACCTTCTTTATCTCTAGATTTATTTACATTTGACTTAAAACAACTTATTTTTACAGATCAGTAAATAAATTGGCTTCCATAATTTTAGCTTAATTCACCTAATCTCTGGAGAGCGAAAAATATTTTTAAGAAATTAAAAGCATTTCCACTGAAATCTTTTGCAGCAGCAATAGAGCCGTTCTAATATTTAGTGACAGCTCTGTATCAGTCGTTCACCTCGGCATCCCTACCAACGGATGGTTACTCTAAACACACAGTTTATCCGAACTTTCAGAAAAGAAAATCGTTAAAAAAATGATTATTCTAGCACTCAATTTGTATAACCACTTTACTTCAACAGACTACCTTAGAACTGAAAAGGATATTTCGAACTATCCTAAGAACCGCCGTTCGGCTTTTTATTTGGGTCGCCACCGAGGTAAAAAAAAAAAAAAAAAAAAAACCTACGCGGCTTTTTTTTTCCTGCAAAAGCCAACAATTTGGTGGCAAAATGAAAGATTCATTTCAAATGATTTTCTGTCTTATGCCAGTTTTAACAAAGAAACCTTGATCGATTGTTGTTGATAGCTGTCCATCGTCAACAGAACCCACACATCTCCTTCGTAGGCTACCCATCGCGTAGCAACAGTGTGTACCCAGCTGGCCGTGCAAGGCATCCTGCCGCCATGTGAGCCTTTATATTCTCCAAAAGCGAAAACATAAATTCAAGTGACTTGCACGAAAAATGGAGACTGCCTTGGAAAGCCGCGCCTGTCACGTGATTGCGTCGAACGTTTGTCCATTAAATATTGGGGGCACATCCAGCAAGGCTCCGATGGTTAATTCGGCTGCCTTTTCCGCCAGCTTTGAATTGTCAGGATTTTCCTGTTGAAATACAAGATAGCTTTCAGTGGTTACAACATGGGATTCAACCCCACCAAACACGAAAGTTAATTTTGTAAACGAAGTCGTGACTGACAAGCCATGCAAGGAAGACACCTCTGTTCGCAGGGTAACGTCCAGAATAAGCCTTGAATTAACATAGAACCCTTCTAAACTCTACGTAGCAGTGGGCATTAGGAATTCACCGTTAGGTTTTCATGGTTTGAGTTCAAATACATGTAGTAACACTCTCTTAGGGCCTGTAATTCTACTATAAATTTTCACACAAGTTAGAAACGACAACATAGAAAGTTGTTAGACTATGTAATTTTTTTAAATATTCCTGTGAAGTTCGCTACGAAGAGGTAAAATGAATAATGTACTGTACCTTTTGATTATTGAGGGCTAGGCTGACAAATACACCAAAACAAATAACACCCTGTTCATGAACACGTGACTTCATTTCCTCTATAGCAAGCTGTCGAGTGACAAAAAATAAATGTTTCGTAAAACAAAGTGAAAACTTCTTCAACTTTAGTTAACTGGAAAAAAGATGAGTTTATAAGTAAACAAACACACACAGGATTGGAAAGCCGATACCACCAGGCATTTTCCGAACCCCACGGCAATTCCTATGAATTGTAGCTTGACAGAGATTCGTACCGGCGAGCACAGCATAAACGTGGATCCATATAGTTTGGGATGCATGCATACTATTGATGCTGCACTAAGCTACACGATGGTAAAGTAAGTCTGTCATGAATTGGCTTGAGTACAATAATATTGGCAAGGATCTCCTACAAATAATAAGGAATCTCTGCCGGCCTTGATTAGCTTTTGCCTTTTGCGGGTCGAACTGTAATTTGAAAATGCGTGAGAATAAAGAAAAAGATATATAAATAAATAAATAATACCCTAGATTTCTCGACTTATAACAGACAACTTTTGTTATCAGTTAAACTAACACGCCTCGTCCAGTAAGCAAATTTTAAATTACATATCGAGGGTGAACATCACTACACGGCGCCCGGGGTCTAATGACATCTCAACCAACCTTGAATTCAGTGAAGTTCTTTCTGCAGTGAAAATCTAACAATTATCAACCTAAGTTCTTTCAAATGACAATGATTGCATTTTCGTGAGATTTCCCGCGTAAACTGCATCACAGATGCTGGTACGCAAACCTGAAGCAAAGAAAAGTATCATAGTGCAGGGTTAACAAAGGCAGCCATCAAGATGTAGGCCTTTCATACAGAGGAGTAGATGTGTCTGCTTTACAATTATTTTGCGTTTTTTCCCTCAAAAATATGTCCTGTTAGAAACTGTGCTTAAATTGTGGGTGGCTCCTCCCAACACATGTTGTGCACGTGGTAAATGATTTAATCAAGCCGAACACCAATTATACAACTGCACACATTTTCGCACGGGCAGGGAGCTTAAGTAACTACTACGGCGACGGCAATGAGAACGGCGACAAAGCAATAGGTTTAAATTGGCAAAACAACAACTTTGCACGTGCATCACGCTTTTTTGTACATTTCCCTGCCGTTGTTGCACGTCTACAACGTGAAACTGCCCGTAGTAATTTCACGTTTTGTCGAGGACGGGAACACAAGACAGCAAATTTCTTTATCTTTTCCTCTACTTTGATGCAGTCCCTTAGAATTCAATTCCAAAAAAAAAAATTGCCAACATTTGACGAATTAAACGAGATGGAATGAGCGCGATTAAGTTTGAGGCAGCGCGAATTCACTTCTTAAGTCAGGTTTTCCTAGCCGTCGCCGTCGTTGTTGCTTCAACTCCCCAGTTTCTTTGTCCGTTCGCTTACAGGGCTGTACACCTTACAATGGCTCACAGAGGCAACCAGCCTACAAGGGTGTCGACTCACAGAAGAGCCTTTGCTGGAGGGTACCTCGGATTAGAGTGGTGTCTATATATCTTACAGTGTATCCACATTAAGGGGCTGTCTGCTCGACCTTGATGGGTGTCCACTTAACAAGGCTACCTTACAGTAGTGTCCAATACATGGTGTGCCTGTCTTAAAGGAAAGTTCCCATACAGTAGAAGTAAGAGGTGTCCGCCTAGTATTAGTGTCCACCCGACAGTAGCGTTTTCCGCCTACAGATGCGCCCATGCCAAAACAGGTTCTCCCGTTAACAGGGTCACTATATTTCAAAAACTACGACATTGATCTTATGGTGAAAAGCAGTAAGGCATACATGGTAGATGAGACTGAATGGCAATATGAACACTAAAAACAGATGAGAAACGTATTATAAGATACCTTACCGTGGAGGACGTTTTATCATCGAGAGCAAAAACAACAGATACATTGCCGTGGCTAACCTCGGATATCTGCAAAGACAATTCAAGAATCATTATTATCTTTCTACTGAAACTAATTCCACGTTGCTGTGAATTCTTGTGTTCATTTTTTTTTTTTTCCTGTCTTTCTGTGTTTTGCCTTGAGGTCAGAGGCACGATTGACATACTGTCACAAGTATGTTTTGCGTAGCAATAGGTACTTTAAGATCCAATGACGCGGACGACAACGAGAACGTAAAAAAACCATAGGTTTTATAAGCAAAACAATAACTTTGCACGTGCATCACGCTTATTAGTACATTTCTTTGCCGTTTTTGCCCGACTACGACGTGAAATTGCCTAATTTCGCGTTTTATGGATTATGTAAACAAGCAACGACAAAATTTTATTTCTCTTTCTTAACTTGGAAATGGTCCATTGGAATTCAACTCCAAGAGGATTCGCCTACATCTGACAAAGTAATTGGGTAGGAATAATTGCGATTAAGACTGAAAGAACGCAAATTCACTTTTTTTAGCGACGTTCTCGTTGCCTTGGCGTCTTTGGATCTTAAAGTCCCTCATGTATCTGAGCTACGTGAAGAAATCACTGCGTTGCCTTTCTACAATATAACTGTATTGTCATTGTATTCAATTGTATTTTCATTTATTTCACCCCCTCACTAGGTGTCAATAGTACAGGGATGTGCTTACCAACTGCTCCGCTGATGTTTCGAAGGAATCTTGTTTTTCCGCTGACAGATCGGAATGAAAGGTCGCCTATAGTGCGAAATAAATATACATTATCATACAAACGATTTTAAAAAGTTGACCAAGTGCCATCGTCTTCCAATAAACACTAGGGCGCACGCTTTAATATAACTTACCGCAACATTTCTTTTCTGAAGCAGTTCTTTTAGTTGCTCACAAAAGTGTGATAGGCCTTGTCCAATAACCAAGGCTCTACGGATTTTTTTCTCTGATTACAAGAAGAACAGTCAAAGTTAATCAATGACGACAGTGTTTATTTCGCATACTTCAGTCTATAAACAGGTTCTATTGTTACACTGAATACATTAAATCCATATAATAATATACAGATTTAACAAAGCCAAAAGCGAAGCTTCAGTTTGTAGACTTAATAATAAACTTCCATTCCATTCCATTCACCTTTTAAGGGGTGACCATGGGAGATTTAAGAAAAAAAGTATCCGGCAAACTGACCTTCAAAACATTTTCCCACGAAGCTAAACTCTTATATTTATAGCAAAAATAATAATGAATAAAGTTCGATAACAGTAGTAGCCTTAAAGAAGAATTTTTGCCCGAACCTGCGTCACATAACTCCTCAGCACACCTGTTTTCGAACTTATCACAATCAGCCCCTAAAATAAACAAAACTAAAAGGTGCCTTTAATTCACGCACGCACATACTCTTCGGTGGAGGCCAATTTACAGGTTACCATTTTTTAGGGTCGATTTTCCAGTCTAAAGAAAAGACCTAAATGAAAACTTGGGCCGATTTTTGTGTACGTTGTGTGCTTTTATATGTTTTCTTTGCAAAATCTCTTAATATCTCGACATGCGCACACTGACGCAGGAACCAATATTGTTAATTCCAACCAGACACACTAACGAAATGGAAGCAGGTACGTGATAATCATAATTATGCGAATTAATTAATGTAAGTGTTAGTTCATGCTATAAGCTCAGTGAAAAGGTGTCAACCGGAATTTTCTCACCGCATGACCGATAACCTAGCGAAAAAAATAAAGGGGGAACAGCTTTGACGACGCAGACATGATGGTGAACCAGACAAGCTCATTAACACCAGGCATAGCTATATTTCTTTCAGCTCTAAATTTTGTTCTTTCCATCACCGCATTCGTGGGGAACACACTGATCCTGGTGGCTCTTTATAAAGTGCCCTCTATTCATCCACCGACAAAACTGCTATTTCGATGTCTTTCAGTCACTGATCTTTGCGTTGGACTTTTTCTGCAACCATTGTTTGTTATCCGTATACTAAATAGTGCGACAAAGATAATTAGCCCTGGGAATTTTTTCTACATCATCGAAGCAAATTCATCTTCAAGTTTTATTTTGTGTGCAGTATCAGTCCTGACATCGACCGCTATAAGTTTAGACAGACTTCTCGCCCTTACGCTGGGCCTGCGATACAGAATCGTTGTAACGTTGAAGCGAGTTGCTGTACTAGTTACTTGTTTCTGGTTGATTGGTATTTTGTTGGGAATGATGCGCTCTTTCGTGAGCTTACGAATTGCTTTAAATGGGGCTATAATCTGGGCAATATTATCGTTAGTAGCCTCAACCTTTTCCTACGTAAAGATATTTCTCAAACTTCGGCAACACCAAGGTAGAGTGCAAGACCGTCGTAAACAAGAGCAACAGAACGAAGGATTACCGCGGCCATTAAACATGCAACGATACAGGAGAACCGTTTCCAGCATAGCCTGGATTCAGATGACAATGGTTGCTTGCTATGTTCCATTCATAGTAGCGACGGTGTTAAACCGTTATAGAAGAGACAATGATATCGCGTGGAATGTTTCAGTCACAATGTTATACCTAAATTCCTCTCTGAACCCATTAGTTTTTTGCTGGAAGATGAAAGAAATCAAACGGGCAGTGAAGAACACGGCGACAGAGTCGTGTTGCCTACAGTCGAACCCCGATAATGCGGACACTGAGGGGACCACGGAAAGTCTCCGTATTAACGGGGTGTCTGCAATAAGCGGGTTGAATTCAGAGAAAATGTACGGCTTACTGTCCCTAGGGACAAAGCAAACTGTCCGTAATAACGAGGTGTCCGTATTAAGTGGGTGTCCATAAAGCGACGTTTGACTGTCTCTACGTACTTAGGTGGACACATGTCAGAAAACGTCTCAGGATCGTGCTTCCGAATATAAACCGTCTCTATGTCGACCCTTAACAATGGAAGTTTCTGAGAATTCGAAATTAAGTTTACTTCAGGGGCACCCAACGAGAATATAGTTCAAAACCACGTTAACATAGCATTTTTAAACGTATTTTAGTATTTAAACGGTAGATATAGGCATATTTCTATCCCCTAAAAATTTTTCATCTTTTCTGATTTACTAGCTGAAAGTCTAGTGATCCGAAAACTGTAGGATCAAAACTTATCTTTTCGAAAATTTCACCCAGAGAAAGGGCTCCCGAAAATTCTAGGTGACCTTTTCAGGATAAAAATCCGTTAAAAATGGGCAATTATATCATTTTTTAGATGTTCGAAAATCCTAGGAGAGGCAGGCAAGCAAGAAATTTTACAACAAATGTTCCGAAAATTCTAGATCTCAAATCGTCTTCCGAACGGACATTTTCCGAAAATTGAAGTTGGGTGCCCCTGTTAATTATTGAAGAGAACCATAGCCTCCACCTTCAATTTAGAGTAGAGAAAGTTTCTATGGTAATAAGTATTGCAAGATAGTGATATGTGTTTTCACGCATTATTGGATGGAATAATTATTCTTTATCCAAAAGGACGAAGCTCGGACGACGTACGTTAGTTCTAGTTACTTATTTCAAGTTAATAAGAGTTTTTTTTTGATGAGAGGATAAGTTAAACGCTTTCTTAGCTGCAGCATATGAGTTCTTTTAAATTCAAAGAGTTTGTTGACAACATTACGCCGGCTGAAAACCAGTAATAAATGGCCATGATTTAGCTGCAAATTTTTATAATCAACAAATTATCGTAGTTCACAAACCATGTCGCATCGACGCGTTTACAAGGTTCAAATTCATGCCACACGTTTAATAAGAAACGTCCAGCTACAACAGAAACATTTTCGAGAAAGAAACAAAAAGGTTCACAAGGAACTTAAAGCGTTGGTCACCTGCTTATCGTTGGCATGCTTCCATCGGCAAAAGGAAGTCGTTTAGTAGTCTCTGATATTGATTCGGGAGTCTTGACAACGTCTCTCCCCAGAACATTCTTGATTCTCGAGTTCAATATCACCTCGACAGGGGCGTAGCCAACATTATGGCATAGAGGGGTTTCTAATGTGGTATTTTTGTCTAGATTGACAATCGAGCTTTAGAAGACATGGGGTGTAAGGCATTCTCGCGCGGAAAAGTTTAAGACTTTAGGTCCTCAGAAATTTCGTTTTGTGATTCTGAGCACAAATTTCCAATAACAGTGCCAAATGAAGGTAGTATTTTTTGTGCTTTCAGTGTTAAGATAGTGTGATAGACTTAAAAATGTATATATCCATAATCGTTGAATACATTAAAACACACACTGTAGTCCTGTGGGCATGATTTGCCCTTTACTCAGCAAGAAGGAGACATCATGGATGCTTCCCTACAAAGGTGTCAATTGTTGGACTTAGGTCAAATTGCGTAATACAATGAATGTTCATCAGAGCAAACGCAAAATCTAGGGAATAAAATCGCTAGTCCTAGCTGACAAATCAGTCTATTTTGTTTTTTGAAATTATAGTTTAATCATAGTATCTGTACAGTATGTTGCCCAGTATCCGGACGGTACCAGTATCCGGACACTTGAAACAAAAACTCAATTTTTGAGGCGCCCTTTTCAGTTCTCGGTAAACGAAGTATTTCGAATGAAAGCTGAACATGTCAGCTTTAAGATGAAAGTTTTGGCGATTTGAAAGCTTGCGAAACAGTCGAGAAAGACGCCGTTCTGTTCAGGTGAGTAAACTTTTCGTGGCTAATATTTACGCTGTTTACTGCGCAGTAAAATTAGTGCTGGTCAGAAAAGGGAGGGTAATGTGTAATATTTTCAAAGAAACTGTTTTATTTTTTAAGTGAAGATACTTAAGGAAGTCAGGTTTTCAGAAAGTTTATTAATTCTTCTTGAAATTCGATTTGTTTGGAATAACGGAGGCCAGAAACATTCACTAAGTTTTGATGTCACGTGCCCAGTATCCGGACAGATTTTTCTTTGATGTACAGAATCGATGAATTAGCTGTGTAATTTATCCAGATAAGATTTATTTCATATCAGTAACTGTAATTAAAGCTTAGGATATATGATATAGTCGTAAAATGTAATTCTACTCAAATGCGTATGGAAATTTTCTTCACTCATTTAGAGGCGACTTGATTTCATGTGCACGGCTTGTTTCGCGTGACTGCATTTTCTATATATAACTGAAAGCGTCTGAGTTGAACCTGGAATTCTCATACTTTCCCCAGTTGTGACTGCTAGAATTGGGTTGCAACGGTCTGAAAAATGTCACAAAGGGATTGAGAGATGTGAAAGAAGGAGGAATTAGTGCTAGAAAAGCAGGCTTATTGTGGGGACTGACCATGAAGAAATCAACACTGCAGTCCAGACTAAATAGGAGAGTGACCTTTGACCGTCTGGTTAAGGTCCATTCCCCAAGCTCTTTTTTAAAATAAAAAATGAAGAAAGAAAGTCGTTTGCAGATTAGCTAATTGAGCTTGCAAACTGCGGCTTCGGCATGTCCACGGATGCCTTTCTTGCATCAGTGAAAAAGTTCCTAGACAAGGAAGTAAGAATTATACCATTTTTAAAACAGCCGGTCGCGTTCCCCACCATACCCCAATCATTTGCGGTCAGTATAAAACATGGACTGCGGACTGCGGACTGCGGACCACGGACTGCGGACTGGGTATAAAACACGGACTAGGTATAAAATGCGGACTCCGGACTGAGTATAAAACACGGACAAGGTATAAAACGCAGACTACGGACTACGGACTACGGACTATGTATATAAAAACAGCTTTAGAAGGTAAAACTGAGAGAAATGGAAAGCGGACTAGCAAAAACAGTACTCCCAGCTTTAACATTCCCTTGGCTGTTCACGTAGTCTATTCTTCCCACGGAGAAGGAAGGTTATGCCGGTACTCAAGGCAACTGAAATTAAACTCTGAATTTTATAAAAAGAATAGGAGTTTGAAGAGATTTCAATTTGCAGTTGTTAAAAAAAATAGTATTGGTGTTAGTCTGATCAGTAAAATACTTATCTGATGCCACAATTCCGTTTCAAATAAAGCCTTGGGAATACGAGGACTGAATGAAGAACCAAGACGAGAAGGTTAATGTTGTGCATTCCGCGATGCACAAAAGCAGTATTTAGGTGGGAGGCATTACTCACATACGTGAATAATAACCGAAATGAGTCATCCAACGTGATATTCTAAGCGATGATTATGATGACATGATTTACACCCTGCTCCTGACCCCCGGAGGGGGGTACTACTGGGAATTCTTTGTGGGGGTGTAGTGCCCGGTTCTCCGAATCCTGACTTTATTACAGACCAAAAAATTGTCATTTTCCACACCCGTTTTCAGACTAGATCTCTAAAATCCATACCCATTTTCGGACCTGGCCTAATTTAGCCTGTACCAGGTTCTCAGATAGTTGGGGAGACTCCCCAGTTTTTTCCCGTTTTATTTTCGTGTTTTCGTTTTTTCAATTCAGCGGACCCAACTATCTCAGAGCCTTGAACAGGTTAGGTCTAATTAAGCAGAAATTTTGTCATCATTACCAAGTTCGAGCGGAAACAAAAAAAATTCTCCAAATGCATTTCGAATTCGCACATTTCTATTTCGTTCTTATTCATTTGGAATTGAAACGATTAATACGTCCATTCATGTGCGCTCCCGTAGTTCCCTCGAAAACCATACCCGATTCCACACCAAAATGGACAAAGTGTTTTCAGACCAAAAAGGCCCAAACCCCCACCCTTCCATTATAAAAGGGAGTACCACCCCTGATCCTGACCCCTTTCATGATTGTTAGAGACCAAAACAAGGTCTAAAAATGGGTGAAGAAAATAGCATTTTGATCCGGCTCATGATTCAGAGAACGAGGCGGGACACCTCCACCAAGAATTTTTAGGAGTATTTACAACTTTAACTCACGTGTCTTGCTATTTAGCGATCTTTTGATCTTATTTTTCCTTACCTAGAACCAATTTGCACGGTTTTTACCAAAGTAGTCCGTAGTCCGTATTTTATACCCAGTCCGCAGTCCACGTTTTATACCTTGTCCGTGTTTTATACCCAGTCCGTATTTTCTAGTCCGCGTTTTATACCTAGTCCGTATTTTATACCCAGTCCGCAGTCCGTAGTCCGCAGTCCGCAGTCCGTGTTTTATACTGACCGCAATCATTTGTTATGTTTTATTTCACGATGCTAGGTTATATTTTTGGAATCGATTGCCAGATTACTTTGCAAGTGCAAGAGAAGCTTATGAGTCGCTTGCCTGTCGAAATTTATGTACAGTTACGTTGTTATTGTTGTGTCCGGATACTGGGCCAGCTGTCCGGATACTGGGCAACAAAGGAGCTCTGCAAAAATATTTATTTCGCGATGGAAACAAAGGCAAAAAAGTTAAACTGTCTTTCGTCATATTAAGGTCTAGATAGATTTTCTCTGGGCCAAATTTCAGAGCTCTTACGGTTAACAAAGGAAAGTTATTGCAATCTTAAACTGAAGTGTCCGGATACTGGGCAACATACTGACGCTATTGAGACCTGCCAATCTTGAATACTGTAAACAAAAACAGCATCTTGTGTCCGTTAATATCGGGACTCTCGCAACAGGACCAAGCTAACCCATCAACGCCTACGAAGTCATTATTCGTTGCCATTAAATATTTCTGTTTTCTGATTCTACTGACACAGTCTTTTTTCTTAAACTTGCCATAATTACTCAAGTTAAAGTTGATACCACCTATTTTATCATCTGTTCTAAGTCACATTTGATTTAACGTGCGTTTGTGCGTTTAGTGTTGTTTCACTAAGCGCTCTAAAATGGTTGTTTACCTTTCTACGGGTCTATAATGCGAGCTTCATTTTCTTTTGGCAGAAAATAACATATGAGCTGACATATGTGAGAAAAATATCACTTGTTCCTAGCTCGTATTAGTACACCTGTGTATTTCAACAGAATTACTAAACAAATCAACTGCGATGCGTTTAGTGATACGTTATGTAGCTATTCTAGCTTACGAGTTTGTGGACGGAAACTTAATAAAGTTCTCAAGGTAATTTAACTCTTTTGAGTCTGTGGACGAAATCCAATGGACATGATGATCATTAAAATGAACACTCTTTGGCAGTAGATTTGAATGGAACTACTTCTTTTTGCTGTATAACATAGTTCAAACTTTTTAGTCTTTGAAAGAAAACCTCTCTTGAGTCACGGTGGCCACTCCAATGAGACGTCCCTGGGAGTCCTTGCAAGTTGCTTTTTTATTTTATAATATTTTACAAACTGTATTTTATAAAAGGGGTAAAATAAGTGCAGTAACAAGAATAGCCTCTACACAGACGTTGTTTTATTCGGCGAGCACGGAGCCCGAGCAAGAGAAAAAATAGACGTTGTTCTATTTTTCTTTTCTTTGTTTTCGAAATCGGTTTTTATCACGCGCGCTCGACGGACTTTGAGGAGAAAATAGAGGCTCTGTGAACAGGCTATGACAAGAAGAATTTCTTTCTAGCCGAAGATATCCAACAGTCACCTTCTTTATCTCTAGTTTTATTTACATTTGACTTGGGACAACTTATTTTTACAGCTCAGTAAATAAATTAACTTCCATAATTTTAGCTTAATTCACCTAATCTCTGGAGAGCGAAAGATATTTTTAAGAAATTAAAAGCATTTCCACTAAAATCTTTTGCAGCAGCAATAGAGCCGTTCTAATATTTAGTGACAGCTTTGTATCAGTCGTTCACCTCTGCACCACTACCAACGGATGGTTGCTCTCAACACACAGTTTATTCGAACTTTCAGAAAAGAAAATCGTTGAAAAAAATGATTACTCTAGCGCTCAATTTGTATAACCACTTTACTTCAACGGACTAGCTTAGAACTGAAAAGGATATTTCGAACAATCCTAAGAACCGCCGTCTGCCGTTATTTGGGTCGCCACCGACGGTAAAAAAAAAAAAAATAAAAAAAAAAACCTGCGCGGCTTTGTTCCGGCTAAAGCCAACAATTTGGTAGCAAAATGAAAGATTCATTTTTAATTATTTTCTGTCTCATGCGAGATCTAACAATACAAAGGAACTTTGATCGGTTGTTGTTGATAGCCTTCCATCGTCAACAGAACCTACACATCTCCTTCGTAGCCTACCAATCGCGTAGCAACAGTGTGTACTCAGCTGGCGATGCAAGGGATCCTGCCGCTAGGTGAGCCTTCATATTCTCCAAAAGCGAAAACAAAAATCCAAGTGACTTGCACAAAAAATGGAGACTGCGTTGAAGGCCGCGCCTGTCACGTGATTGCGTCGAACGTCTGTCCATTAAATATTGGGGGCACATCCAGCAAGGCTCCGATGGTTAATTCGGCTGCCTTTTCCGCCAGCTTTGAATTGTCAGGATTTTCCTGTTGAAATACAAGATATCCTTTAGTGGTTATAACATGGGATTCAACCCCACCAAACATGAAAGCCAACTGTTGTAAACGAAGTCGTTCGCGTAGTTGGCTTGTTTACGCCCTGGGGCGTAAACAATCCAACTATACGCGACTGACAAGCGACGCCAATGACTTCGTAAATGCTAAAAGCTATGCACTAGAGAGAAACCTCTGCCCGCAGAGTAACGTCCAGAATAAGTCTTAATTTAACACAGAACCCTTCTGAACTCTACGTAGCAGTGGGCATTGAGAAGTCACGGTTAGGTTCTGTTGGTTTTAGTTCAAATAAATGTGGTAACACTCTCTTAGGGCCTGTAATTTGGCTACAAATTTTCACACCAGTTAGAAACGACAACATAGAAAGTTGTTAGACTATGTAATTTTTTTAAATATTCCTGTGAAGTTCGCTACGAAGAATAATGTACTGTACCTTTTGATTATTGATGCCAAGGCTGACAAATACACCAAAACAAATAGCACAATGTTCATGAACACGTGACTTCATTTCCTCTATAGCAAGCTGTCCAGTGGCAAAAAATAAATGTTTCGTAACACAAAGTGAAAAACTTGTTCAACTTTAGTTAACTAGAAAAAAGATGAGTTTATAAGTAAACAAACACACACAAAATTGGAAAGCCGATACCACCCTGCATTTTCCGAACCCCCCGGCAATGCCTATGAATTGTAGCTTGACAGAGATTCGTACCGGCGAGCAAATCATAAACGAGGATCCATATAGTTTGGGATGCATGCATACTATTGATGCTGCACTAAGCTACACAATGGTAAAGTAGGCGACTCTGTGAATTGGCTTGAGTAAAATAATATTAACAAGGATCTCCTACAAATAATAAGGAATCTCCGCCGGCCTTGATTAGCTCTTGCCTTTTGTGGGTGGAACTGTAATTTGAAAATGCGTGAGAATAAATAAATAAATAATATATATATATATATATATATATATATATATATATATAAATAAATGATACCCTAGTTTTCTCGACTTATAACAGACAATTTTTGTTATCAGTTAAACTAAACACGTCTCGTCCAGGTAAGCAAATTTTAACTGATTAGATATCGAGGGTGACCATCACTACACAGGGCCCGGGGTTCTAATGACACCTCAACCAACCTTGAATTCAGTGAAGTTCTTTCTGCAGTTTGAAAATCTAACAATTATCAACCTAAGATCTTTCGCAAGACAAAGATTGCATTTTCGTGAGATTTCTTGCGTAAACTGCATCACAAATGTTGGTACGCAAACCTGAAGCAAAGAAAAGCATCATAGTTCATGGTTAGTAAAAGACAGCCACTATGGTTAGGCCTTTCATAGAGAAGAGTAGATGTGTCTGCTTTACCATTATTTTGCGATTTTCCCTCAATAATATGTCCTGTCAACACATGGCTCCTCCCAACACATGATGTGCAAGTGGTAAATGATTAAATCAAGCCGAAACCAATTATAAAACTCCACACATTTTCGAACGGTTATGGAGCTTAAGCAATGACGACACCAACCGCAACGACACCGGCAATAACGTAATAGATTTAAATTGGCAAAACAACAACTCTGCACGTGCATCACGCTTTTTTTGTACATTTCTCTGCCATCGCCAGACGACTACAACGTGAAACTGCCTGTAGTAATTTCACGTTTTGTCGAGGACGGGAACAGGAGACAACAACTTTGCTTTTCTTTTCCTGAACTTTGATGCAGTCCTTTAGATATATAGAATTAAATTCAAAAAAAAAAAAAAAAATTGCCAACATTTGACGAATTAAACGAGATGGAATGAGCGCGATTAAGTTTGAGGCAGCGCGAATTCACTTTTTAAGTCAGGTTTTCCTAGCCGTCGCCGTCGTTGTTGCTTATATAAACTTCCTAGTTTCTTTGTCCGTCTGCTTACAGGGCTGTCCACCTTACAATGGTTCACAGAGGCAACCAGCCTACAAGGGTGTCGACTCACAGAAGAGCCTTTGCTGGAGGGTACTTCGGATTAGAGTGGTGTCTATATATCTTACAGTGTATCCACATTAAGGGGCTGTCTGCTCGACCTTGATGGGTGTCCACTTAACAAGGCTACCTTACAGTAGTGTCAAATACATGGTGTGCCTGTCTTAAAGCAAAGTTCCCATACAGTAGAAGTGAGGGATTTCCGCCTAGTATTAGCGTCCACCCAACAGTAGCGTTTTCCGCCTACAGATGCGCCCATGCTAAAAAAACATTCTCCCGTTAACAGGGTCACTATATTTAAAAAAAAAAATGGCAGATGAGACTGAATGGCAATATGAACACTAAAAACAGATGAGAAACGTATCATAAGGTACCTTACCGTGGAGGACGTTTTATCATCGAGAGCAAAAACAACAGATACACTGTCGTGGCTAACCTCGGATATCTGCCAAGACAATTCAAGAATCATTATTATCTTTCCAGTGCCACTAATTCCACGTTCCTATGAATTGTTGTTTTCATTTTTTTCCTGTCTTTCTTTGTTTTGCCTTGAGGTCAGAGGCACGATTGACATACTGTCATAAGTATGTTTTGCGTAGCAATAGGTACTTTAAGATCCAACGACGCGGACGGCAACGAGAACGTAAAAAAACAATAGGTTTTATAAGCAAAACAATAACTTTGCACGTGCATCACACTTATTGGTACATTTCTTTGCCGTTTTTGCCCGACTACGACGTGAAATTGCCTAATCTCGCGTTTTATGGATTATGTCAACAAGCAACGACCAAATTTTATTTCTCTTTCTGAACTTGGAAATGGTCCATTGGAATTCAACTCCAGGAGGATTCGCCTACATTTGACAAAGTAATTGGGTAGGAATAATTGCGATTAAGACTGAAAAAACGCAAATTCACTTTTTAGGCGACGTTCTCGTTGCCTTCGCGTCTTTGGATCTTAAAGTCCCTCATGTATCTGAGCTACGTGAAGTAATCACTGCGTTGCCTTTCTACAATATAACTGTATTGTCATTGTATTCAATTGTATTCTCATTTATTTAGCCCCCTCACTAGATGTCAATAGTACAGGGATTACAGGGATGTGCTTACCAACTGCTCCGCTGATGTTTCGAAGGAATCTTGTTTTTCCGCTGACAGATCGGAATGAAAGGTCGCCTAACGTGCGAAATAAATATACATCATCATACAAATGATTAATTTGTTAGTTTAGTTCGTCACATGTGAAGATCGACGTTTGTCCCGGAGACGATCTTCAGACGTTCTATCCGTCTCGGCTGCTTCAGACGATAAGGAAAATTTAGCCTCGTTCGGGAGAAACACCCGCTGGCTGGCTAAAATTTCTTGTAGGTCTGATTCAGTTGATTGGTTCGACGCGTCCTAAGTTCGACGTTTAAACTATCAGACGATCTTAACCTAACTGATGAAAGTCGACCAAGAGCCATCGTCTTCCAATAAACACTAGGGCGCACGCTTTAATATAACTTACCGCAACATTTCTTTTCTGAAGCAGTTCTTTTAGTTGCTCACAAAAGTGTGATAGGCCTTGTCCAATAACCAAGGCTCTATGGATTTTTTTTCTCTGATTACAAGAATAACAGTCAAAGTTAATCGATGACGACAGTGTTTATTTCGTATACTTCAATCTATAAACAGGTTCTATTGTAACACTGAATACATTAAATCCATATAATAATATACAGATTTAACCAAGCTAAAAGCGAATCTTCAGTTTGTAGACTTAATAATAAACTTCCATTCCATTTCACTCACCTTTTAAGGGGTGACCATGGGAGATTTAAGAAAAAAAGTATCCGGCAAACTGACCTACAACACATCTTCCCACCGAGCTAAACTCTTATATTTATAGCAAAAATAATAATGAATAAAGTTCGATAACAGTAGTAGCCTTAAAGAAGAATTTTTGCCCGAACCTGCGTCACATAACTCCTCAGCACACCTGTTTTCGAACTTATTACAATCAGCCCCTAAAATAAACAAAACTAAAAGGTGCCTTTAATTCACGCCCGCACATACTCTTCGGTGGAGGCCAATTTACAGGTTACCATTTTTAGGGTCGATTTTCCAGTCTAAAGGAAAGACCTAAATGAAAAGTTGGGCCGATTTTTGTGTACGTTGTGTGCTTTTATATGTTTTCTTTGCAACATCTCTTAATATCTCGACATCCGCACACTGACGCAGGAACCAATATTGTTAATTCCAACCAGACACACTAACGAAATGGAAGCAGGTACTTGATAATCATAATTATGCGAATTAATTAATGTAAGTGTTAGTTCATGCTATAAGCTCAGTGAAAAGGTGTCAACCGGAATTTTCTCACCGCATGACCGATGACCTAGCGAAAAAAAAAAAAGGAACAGCTTTGACGACGCATACATGATGGTGAACCAGACAAGCTCATTACCACCAGGCATAGCTATATTTCTTTCAGCTCTAAATTTTGTTCTTTCCATCACCGCATTCGTGGGGAACACACTGATCCTGGTGGCTCTTTATAAAGTACCTTCTATTCATCCACCGACAAAACTGCTATTTCGATGTCTTTCAGTCACTGATCTTTGCGTTGGCCTTTTTCTGCAACCATTGTTTGTTATCCGTGTACTAAATAGTGCGACAAAGATAATTAGCCCTGGGAATTTTTTCTACATCATCGAAGCAAATTCATCTTTAAGTTTTATTTTGTGTGCAGTATCAGTCCTGACATCGACCGCTATAAGTTTAGACAGACTTCTCGCCCTTACGCTGGGCCTGCGATACAGAATCGTTGTAACGTTGAAGCGAGTTGCTGTACTAGTTACTTGTTTCTGGTTGATTGGTATTTTGTTGGGAATGATGCGCTCTTTCGTGAGCTTACGAATTGCTTTAAATGGGGCTATAATCTGGGCAATATTATCGTTAGTAGCCTCAACCTTTTCCTACGTAAAGATATTTCTCAAACTTCGGCAACACCAAGGTAGAGTGCAAGACCGTCGTAAACAAGAGCAACAGAACGAAGGATTACCGCGGCCATTAAACATGCAACGATACAGGAGAACCGTTTCCAGCATAACCTGGATTCAGATGACAATGGTTGCTTGCTATGTTCCATTTATAGTAGCGACAGTGTTAAACCGTTATAGAAGAGACAGTGATATCGCGTGGACTGTTTCAGTCACAATGTTATACTTAAATTCCTCTCTGAACCCATTAGTTTTTTGCTGGAAGATGAAAGAAATCAAACGGGCAGTGAAGAACACGGCGACAGAGTCGTGTTGCCTACAGTCGAACCCCGATAATGCGGACACTGAGGGGACCACGGAAAGTGTCCGTATTAACGGGGTGTCTGCAATAAGCGGGTTGAATTCAGAGAAAATGTACGGCTTACTGTCCCTAGCGACAAAGCAAACTGTCCGTAATAACGAAGTGTCCGTATTAAGTGGGTGTCCATAAAGCGACGTTTGACTGTCTCTACGTACTTAGGTGGACACATGTCAGAAAACGTCTCAGGATCGTGCTTCCGAATATAAACCGTCTCTATGTCGACCCTTAACAATGGAAGTTTCTGAGAATTCGAAATTAAGTTTACTTCAGGGGCACCCAACGAGAATATAGTTCAAAACCACTTTAACATAGCATTTTTAAACGTATTTTAGTATTTAAACGGTAGATATAGGCATATTTCTATCCCCTAAAAATTTTTCATTTGTTCTGATTTACTAGCTGAAAGTCTAGTGATCCGAAAACTGTACGATCAAAACTTACCTTTTCGAAAATTTCACCCAGAGAAAGGGCTCCCGAAAATTCTAGGTGACCTTTTCAGGATAAAAATCCGTTAAAAATGGGCAATTATATCATTTTTTAGATGTTCGAAAATCCTAGGAGAGGCAGGCAAGCAAGAAATTTTACAACAAATGTTCCGAAAATTCTAGATCTCAAATCGTCTTCCGAACGGACATTTTCCGAAAATTGAAGTTGGGTGCCCCTGTTAATTATTGAAGAGAACGATACCCTCCACCTTCAATTTAGAGTAGAGAAAGTTTCTATGGTAATAAGTATTGCAAGATAGTGATATGTGTTTTCACGCATTATTAGATGGAATAATTATTCTTTATCCAAAAGGACGAAGCTCGGACGACGTACGTTAGTTCTAGTTACTTATTTCAAGTTAATAAGAGTTTTTTTTTGATGAGAGGATAAGTTAAACGCTTTCTTAGCTGCAGCATATGAGTTCTTTTAAATTCAAAGAGTTTGTTGACAACATTACGCCGGCTGAAAACCAGTAATAAATGGCCATGATTTAGCTGCAAATTTTTATAATCAACAAATTATCGTAGTTCACAAACCATGTCGCATCGACGCGTTTACAAGGTTCAAATTCATGCGACACGTTTAATAAGAAACGTCCAGCTACAACATTTTCGAGAAAGAAGCAAAAAGGTTCACAAGGAACTTAAAGCGTTGGTCACCTGCTTATTGTTGGCATGCTTCCATCGGCAACAGGAAGTCGTTTAGTAGTCTCTGATATTGATTCGGGAGTCTTGACAACGTCTCTCCCCAGAACATTCTTGATTCTCGAGTTCAATATCACCTCGACAGGGGCGTAGCCAACATTATGGCATAGAGGGGTTTCTAATGTGGTATTTTTGTCTAGATTGACAATCGAGCTTTAGAAGACATGGGGTGTAAGGCATTCTCGCGCGGAAAAGTTTAAGACTTTAGGTCCTCAGAAATTTCGTTTTGTGATTCTGAGCACAAATTTCCAATAACAGTGCCAAATGAAGGTAGTATTTTTTATGCTTTCAGTGTTAAGATAGTGTGATAGACTTAAAAAATGTATATATCCATAATCGTTGAATACATTAAAACACACACTGTAGTCCTGTGGGCATGATTTGCCGTTTACTCAGTTAGGATATTAGCAAGAAGGAGACATCATGGATGCTTCCCTACAAAGGTGTCAATTGTTGGACTTAGGTCAAATTGCGTAATACAATGAATGTTCATCAGAGCAAACGCAAAATCTAGGGAATAAAATCGCTAGTCCTAGCTGACAAATCAGTCTATTTTGTTTTTTGAAATTATAGTTTAATCATAGTATCTGTACAGTATGTTGCCCAGTATCCGGACGGTACCAGTATCCGGACACTTGAAACAAAAACTCAATTTTTGAGGCGCCCTTTTCAGTTCTCGGTAAACGAAGTATTTCGAATGAAAGCTGAACATGTCAGCTTTAAGATGAAAGTTTTGGCGATTTGAAAGCTTGCGAAACAGTCGAGAAAGACGCCGTTCTGTTCAG